GCTAACAAGGCTTAAGCTCCCCTAGGGGCAGAGATCTTAACATTAAAATGAAGCAAAGGTAACTTTTGGACACTTCTCAGCCTGTCTGCACAAGCATCGCTCTTGTGGTGGGGTTTGGACGGGTTCAGGGTGGTTGGTGATTGCATCTCTTAGCATATCTAAAAAACATCTTGGAGAAACAGTTAAGTGCTTTCAAAACCTCCCTTGAGTTACTTGGGGCAGTTAGTCAGTGACAGAGTGGCTGGGTGGTTTGAAAATATCTGCTGTCATGTATTTGGTGCAGCCTACACTGAGACTCAAGGGCAGAATGGAAACATTAATAAGAGGAAAGAGAGTAAACCAATCTAAAGAAAGTTCATGAATCTTTCTCCATAAGCGAAATTGTGATGCCTAATTGAGAGAGAGCTATGGGACTCAAAAGACGCTGGTCTGAAGCCAGGAAGACCTGGCTTTGTTGATAGCGCAGTATTTCAGTTAAGTGCAATTAAATACTCTTTGAGGGGATTTGGAGGAATAGTAAGAGGAAGAAAGGAGATACTTCTTTTTTGTTTCTGTCTTTTATTTATACTTCAGAAATTCTCAGCAGGTGTCTGTGGATTTTGGCATACACTTCTCTAAAACTATAAAAGTTAAAAAGTGAAACTTAAATAAAGCCACAAATCTCACTTTTAAATTTCTATTCACAACAGAAGAGGATATAATTTAGACTGTCCTAAACTATTACAACATAAATCATTGCGCAATATTTTTTTAGTTTTGCTCAATGCCCACTCCTTGCCTGATAGTGTGTTTTAGGGAGAATAAGTGCACCACTCAAGCTGGCTAGCCTGTAGGATTTGAATAGTGTTTTCTTTTTTTCTATTTTGTGGGAAACTGATTTACAAGTGACTGGCCTGTAAGCTGAGCCTTATTAATAGCATGGTTTAACAGCCTAAGATAATGAATTCAAATAATATTACTGACAGCCTGTGAAATGAAAGTCACACTTTCTAAAAACACTGAGATGTACCTATATCACCTGGCAGCCACTTTCAATATTCTGGGGAAGGAATGTTATCTCATACCCTTACAATGTTTTTATATCTTAACAGAGGGCTATATGATACTTGAATATTGGTATTCTATCTTAACGAAAGCAGTCACAAGAATAAAAGCAGTTGACCTCTGGCCTTTCAGAGATGTTCCCACTAAATTTATGTGCCTCTAATGAAAAATAGCAAAAGAATTGATAAATATTAAGCATTTAAGAAATATTTTGTTTGTTTATTTATTTATTTATTTACCAACTACAGCTAGATAAGAGGAACTGGGTTAATTTTGAAACCCTCAGTTTCCTTTCCTCTAAACCAATAGCTATTGCTGGTCACTAGTGTGTTCCTTCCTTTGCAGGAAGTTGCAAAACTGAGAGAAAAAAAATGAAACCAAGTTAGCATTATTTTTAGCTTTCCTCTGATTTGGATATAGCTACAGTCCTTACTTTTTCTCATGGAAACTATCATAACTATTTAAAGGAGGAAAATGAGGCAAAGGGGAGGAGCGGGGAATTGTGCCCAAGGACATACGGCAGGGTTATTGCCACAAGCTGAGCTGCAGGCATCCAGACAGCTTGACAGCTTCTCTGCTCTGCTCCAACCAACAAGGGCTCCTGCCACAATGCAAAGACTCAAGTGCTGCCTAACTTGAGTCTCTCTTAGGCCAGATGTCAGTGCCCTTGGGGAAACAGTTTAAGCTTCTCAGCTTCATGCTTTCCTCTGAATATTAGTACAGTGGTAACTGTGGGACCTAACCCTGTGAGGGCAGGGGGTTGTTGCAACGGTGAATGATCAACAAACTGCGTTTAAAATAGCAGAGAGCAGCTTTTCTTTTAATTCAGTTTAACAAGGCAGTGCATGCTATCTCAGATCTGTAGCTGGCAAATTATGGCTCGATGCCTCTTTTTGTATAGCCTACAAGCTACGAATGGTCTGTACATTTTTAATAGGTTAAAAAAAATTAAAAGAATAATATTTCAGGTGGTGAAAATTATATGGAATTCAAATTTCAAAATTTGTGGAAATTTGTTTTCTCTTTTATTGTATAAATACCTATATAATATCCTCAAATTTGCCTGTTGGCCTGTAAACCCTAAAGATATTTACTACCTGGCCATTTAAAGAAAGAGTTTGCAAATCTTTGGTTTAGAAGAGCATGGGACTGAATGTCAGTCAGATCTGAATTGAGCCCCACAGCTGCCATTTACTTACTGAATGACCTCAAGCAAGATATTTAACTTTTCTAAGCCTCAGTTTCCTTGTCTATAAAATAGGCATACAGATAATGTTTATCTTGCAGAGTTAAATGAGATAATGCATTTAATGTGCTTAACGCAACGCCTGTCAGATGATAAATGCTCCACACATTACTATTGTTATTATTATTGTTGTTTTACCATAAAGCGAATGAGACTAAACAAAATTGAAAACTAACTGAGGAAATTTTAAAGTTAAATTAGAAACTGTAATAGATTCTACAATATTATACTTAGGAAAATGTTTTACTTATTTTAGAAGGTATTTTGGATTGAATAACAACAACAACAACGGCTCACTCAAAATAAAACGGATGAAATTGCTAAGTCCTGTGTGAACATAGAAGTAAAACAGTCATACCCAGACATGCAGGGAGAGCTGAGATTGCAAGCCATGTATCTGAATAAATCAAAACCCTCACCACTTAAGACACATGCTTGCTAAATTCTGTCCAGTTCTTAGAGACAAAAAAAAAAAAAATGGCAGAACTCCATAGAATTCATGGATAGATATTTTGCTGAAAAGTAATATAGAAACAGATTAAAGGAAAAATTTTATTAAGCTGTAATCTTTATGCTCATACCTATGTATGACTTAATAGGTTCTAACTTAACTCTGCTCTGAAGGCCAGGACTTAAAAATGCTGGAGGCAGGCCCTGAAGGCAGTGCCTCTCTGCAAAGGCACACTGGCACCACCACATTTTGAGGCACAAATGAGCCTTTAACTTTTTTTATAGCAGCATTATTAGGATAAAATTCACGTACCATGAAATATACCTATTTAAAGTGTACAATTCAGGAACCGGCCCACTAGCATAGTGGTTAAGATCACACGCTCCACTTCTGCAGCCCAGGGTTCACAGGTTCGGATCCCAGCCACACATTGATGCACGGCTTGTCAAGCCACGCTGTGGCGGAGTCCCATATAAAGTAGAGGAAGATGGGCATGGATGTTAGCTCAGGGCTAATCTTCCTCACAAAAAAATAAATAAAAAACAAAGTGTACAATTCAATGGCTTTTACTATATTCACAGAGTTGTGCTACCATCACCACAATCAATTTTGGAACATTTTCATCAACCCCAAAATGTACTCACTAGCAGTCACTCCCCTCAATCCCCCAGATCTGGTAACAACTAATCTACTTCTGTCTCAATAGATTTGCCTATTCTGGATATTTCATATAAATGGAATCATGCAATATGTGGTGTTTTGTGAATGCCTTCTGTCACTCAGCATAATACTTTTGAGGTTCATTCATTCGTAGCAGGTATCGGTACCTCATTCCTGTTTACTGTGAGATAATTTTCCATTGTATGGATCTACCACATTTTGTTTATCCATTCGTCAGGTGATGGGCATTTGGTGTGCCTTTAACTTTTGACCACTGCGTAAAACTCTTTTTACTCTGACTGAGGCTACTGTTTGAGCAATACTGTTTCAGCAATACTTGTTGGCCACCTTGACTAAGCCGGCCTTATAGGATACAGGTTGCTCTTGGTGGGAGAAAAGAGATGTTAGGCCAGCCCCGTGGCTTAGTGGTTAAGTGTGCACACTCCGCTACTGGCTGCCAGGGGTTTGGATCCCAGGCGCGCACCAACGCACCGCTTCTCCGGCCGTGCGGAGGTCACTTCCCACATACAGCAACCAGAAGGGTGTGCAGCTATGACATACAACTATCTACTGGTGCTTTGGGGGAAAAATAAATAAATAAAATTATAAAAAAAAAAAAAAAAGAAAAGAGATGTTAGTATAACATTCAGCCAGAGCCATGTAAGGGAACCTGCAAGAATGTGCCTGAGAAATATGTAAGAGAAGGTGGTCAGACTGTAACAGAATAGCTTCTGTTCAGGCAGTAATGCAGTGCTGAAGGGTCACTCAGTGCTGTTCATAAGAACAAAACCTGGAAACAATTGACAGGAAATGGATAAATTGCTGTATAGTCACATAATAGAATATCATACAACAGTGGAGTTGAAAAATATAGCTAACCCCAGGAGATTATGGTAGGTGTAACTTATTGGTAATATTCTTGGGTTAGGCGTGAGGTCAAAGGAGTTCATTTTATATATTTATATATATATATACACACACACACACACACACACATAAATATAAAGGAGTTCTATCCATGGATTAATGATGAGAGTGTCATAAACCAAAGAAAATGACAAATGAAGTCAGGTTACCTGAGTCTAAATAAGAAATGAGACAGAAAAATAGATAAAATTAATGCATGTACATTGTACAAATTTGGATATACATGTAAAATATATATAAAAAAAGTTTCACTGCAAAAGATAATGAAGTACACCTGAAATTTACATAATGTTTTAAAGCAATGGTACTTCAATTAAAAAAAAGTTTCACTGGTTATTCCTTTAGATAGAAAAATTACAATGAACACTGTAGTACTTTAGCTTTCCATTCTTTCCCTTATGAATTAAAAAAATTTTTTTAATAATACTAAAACAATGTCAAGTTGATAAGCTCTATTCTCTGTGGGATCTGTTTGGGTCAGGCTACCCACTCCAGGTTCCAACCAGCCTGGCCTCAGCCCCGCCATCAGCCATTAGCTATCAAGGCTGCTGGCGCACACAGTGACAGCGTTTGGGCGGCGCTGGTCAACGAGCCCTAACAACTCCGCCCCGCTCCGCTCAGGTTCAGAGAACCCGCCCTGGGGGCGTGTCCAGCTACCATGGGGGCGTGGCTAAGAGGCGAGGCGGTCCTCAGCCGGAGCCCAGGTAATCCGGGTGGGAGCGGGGCGAGCCACGCGTCGCAGCATGATGGCGTCAAGGACGCGCCCGGCGTGACGTGCTTGGCGTGCGCAGCTGCACTCCGGCGTTTTGGTTCCAGCTCGTGAGCTGAGCGTCAGGCGGGTTGTGCTGTTGGCCGGGATGTTACAGGCTGTTGGAGCTGTGGATGAGGAAGAGGAGCAAGCGGAGGAGGATTGTCCTGAATTGGTCCCGATTGAGACGAAGCAAAGAGAGGAGGAGGAAAAGCCTGGCCCCGGCGCTAAGATCCCAGTCACAATTATCACCGGGTATTTAGGTAACTAACCATCCCGGTGAGAAAATGCCGCCAACACTGGTGTCCTTGGATTTTGGGGGCTGACAGTGCCTCTTCCCCTCAGGCATCGGGGCCTTGTGGCCGAGAGAGATGTCTCTGAGGCAGGGGCTGGGTCGCTGGCTCCGCGTAAGGGTTACATGTCATCTCGGGGGTTAATGGTGTCTAGCCCCCTCTGCGTTAGGTTCACATTTATCACCTAAATGATTGAGATTGCAAGTTAGCCTCGCATTTTGAAACGAGTTCTGGCATTGAGGGTTAAATCCTGGACCCGCCCCCTAATTATCCATGGGACCTCTAACAAGTTATCTTTCTCAAGCTCATCGGCCTCACTTGAAAATGGAAATAATTCCAGTCACCTGTCTGAGTTTGTTTTCTTACCTGTAAAATGGAGCAGGAAACACCCACCTTACAAGGCTATTACCATTAAAGGGTGTCCTGTCTGTAAGATGCCCGACGCACGAAGGGCATTCCTCAGTAGAGTCCCCTTCCCCTCGAGCCAGTCTCTTCCAGCCATTCGTGGAAAGTTCCATCTCAAACATTTTTTTGAGGTCTGTTTGTAAAGCACTGTAGAAGAAAGAGTAAGAATAAAATCTCTGCCCTCCAAGACTGTATTTCTCAAACTGAGGACGTTCAGGAGTGCACAGGGACGCGTGAATTCATAGGTTTGCAAACATGATCGTTTCCTAGAGGACATATATGCGCCTATGCTAGAGGTACTTTACTGGAAAAGTTTGAGAAGTATTACTTTAAAACCTTACAGTTAAATAGAAAGGCTAGAATAAATGCATGACCCTATTAAAAGTGTGGGAAAAGTTAAGAAATGTAAATAGAGGAAACGATTTGGGGGAAATAATACCATTCCTAGATGCTGCTAGAGACAAGTACAAACTTGGTGCACCTGAGGGCCTTTTACATAAAAATAAGAATGAAATCACTGGTGTTTCCCTTTTTATGCTTTGTAGACTGTAAGTTTACTCCCATTTTTACTCAGAACTAATTTTATAAAGGAATTTATTTTTGGTATTTCCCCGCTGTTATGCAGAGGCTGCTCTACTGAGAAGCTGAGCAAATTCCTTGTCGAAAACAGTATAGTTGGGACTTGCCCCTCTGGCCTTCCCCATTTTGCTCACTAGTAGGTCAGAGGAGCATTGGAGATTATGGTCTGAAGTTTAGGAATGAGGACTCATGCCAACAACAAGCTGGGGGATAGTTTCGCCGCTTATTCTTGACCATTTTCTCTTTCTTGAAACATTGTTCCCGTGGCTTCCATCACATTTTTCTTCTGATATTTCCACTTCTCTGGCTTCTCATTTTTAATCCCCCTCTGCTTCGTCCTTTTTACTCCACTTGATGTCCCACAGACATCTCAAACTCAACATGTCCAAAACTTCATATGTTGCCATCCCCTCAAATCCTCCTGCTCCTTTGATCCCAACCACCTGGAATATTCTAAAAACTTCCTAACTCGTCTTGAGTCATGCTGCCCTTTAATATAGTCTCTGTATTTTAGCATTAGTGATCTTAATGAATGTCAGTCTGATTGTGTCACACCTGTCAGTGGTTTCCGTTTAGGTTAAAGTTCAGATTCCTTAACATGAATTACAAGGTTTTGAATCTGCCTCTTGACAGTCTCTCCAGCCTGCAAAACTGTGGTCCAGCCACAGTGAGCTACTTTTACTTCTAAAAGGTACCAAGTATTTTAGCTGCTGGCATACTTTTCTTTTTACTGTTACTCTTCTGGCTAGATGTCCCTCGTAGGTGCTCCGTAGCATCCTGTACATCTCCTAGTAAATGTATCGTCCTGTGATGTAATTGCCTCTTTATTGATCTGAATTCCACCCCCATCTCCTGCTCCTTTAATGTTTCTAAGCTTCATGAAGGTAGAGACAGTTTGTCTCTGTCTTGTGTACTTTTCACCAAGGCCCAGCCTCAGATCTGGTCCATAGTAGACTTTTGAATGAATGAGTTATGTCTTAAGGTCTTTTGCTTCAGAGTATGGTTAGTTATTAAGGCCTCATAATTCTGTTAGGTCTCTTACATCCACTCCTTCCTTTCCGTTTTCACTGCCTCTACCTAGGATAGCACGCAGGGCCTCTGTCGCACACGTGGACTGGTTTTAAGAATTTCCTTATTGCCCTCCCTCCTTAAAGTCTGTCCCTTCCATTCCATACTTCACACTTTCATGATGTTGAGCTTCCTAAAGCTCTCTAAACACAAGCCTTCCATCCCTTCAACAGCTTTTAAAGGAATATGATCTAAAAATTTCGAAGATATTATACCCTAATACTCAGTAAATCCCTCGTAGTTATACCCTAGAAATCTTTTTTTTTTTTTTAAAGATTTTATTTATTCATTTTTTCCCCCCAAAGCCCCAGTAGATAGATAGTTGTATGTCGTAGGTTCACATCCTTCTAGTTGCTGTACGCGGGACTCGGCCTCGGGTTGGACGGAGATGTGGTGCCTCGGGGCGCGCCCGGGATCCGAACCCGGGCTGCCAGCATCAGAGCGCGTGCCTCGGGGCGCGCCCGGGATCCGAACCCGGGCTGCCAGCATCAGAGCGCACGCACTTAACCGCTAAGCCACGGAGCCGGCCCAATACCCTAGAAATCTTGTAAATGTATTTCAGGAGATGTATACAAGCGTACGTGTAAAAGTTCTTAGTAGCGCTGTTTGTAATAGCAAAACACTGGAGACAACCCAAATGTCCACCAGCAGAAAAATAGATAAATAAATGATATAATAATACAATTGAACTACACTACTGTGGAGTTAGGGTTTGTTTGTTTTTTCCTCTGAATTTTGGTGTGTATTGTTCACAAGACAAGTATTTTTCTTCTACTTGAGCTGTACATAGGTTTCAATATGCCACCTACTGGATAAAGTTAGTATAGCTTTGTGAATTTATCTTTCTAAATAACTGAATATTCTGAATACTGAATGTCCATTGTTAACATTTCCTACATGCATTCTCTGTTTTGTGTGTGTGTATGCACACATATGTAAATCAATTTTATAGATTGCTTTAAGCATACGAAAAGTAGCCATAGTCAATCTGAATTTGTCTCTGGTTAATGATAGATGTTGAAATAAAAGATTGGTCTTTATATGTAAATTTTAGGGAAGAAAACCATATGTTCTTGGCTAAGAAACATTGTCATTATGTGAAGGGATTTAAGTATTTTATAAACTACATGAGTACTTTATTCCTTAGGAGCCATTACTTCAATAATTCTTTATTTAATAGAAAATTTAGATGCCCATATATTAATTGTATTGTAAGTTATGTAGAAGGCTATTATTTTTGTCATATGAGCTCGAAGAAAGCTGTGTGATCCAACTTATAGGAGTATTTGTAAATATTTACAAAATTTTGTGTCAAAGCATTTTTTATAGTTTTCAAAGGGTACTTTTATCTTTTCTTCTAGAATCTTCTATACCATAGTTGAATAATATTTGAAAAACAGCGTGCAAATTTTTAAAAACATTGGAACTCTATATCTTTTTTGTACCTTTAAAATTAGTCTTTGAATTTTTTAATTTAAAACAAATATATTTTATAGGTGCTGGGAAGACAACACTTCTGAACTATATTCTGACAGAGCAACATAGTAAAAGAATAGCAGTTATTTTAAACGAATTTGGGGAAGGTAAGTATAGTTCAGTAAATTCCCTGGTGCAGGAATTTATAGGACAGTTTATTCCACTGGTCAATTGACATTCCATATTTGAAAATGAAAATGCAAGGTTTTATAATGTGAACACATTGATGTGAATAGTTGTGGAAAATTAGATTAATTTCTATCAAGCTGTATTTTGTACAGATTTGGGATACTGAAATCAGATAGTTTCTATGAAATTTTATTTTGTATTACTTTGGAATTCATACCAACAGGCTTAAATTAGATTTTTACGTGAAATAACTCCAGAAGTAAAAATCTAAACATATGAAAGAAAGTTCAGGAACTAGAAAGGGGCTTTCGTACTGACTGTATTGTTTAATTGCAGCTTGTGAAAAATATTTGAAAATGCTTCAGTTATAATAAGTTTACGTTGTTGAATGCTTATTATCTGCAAAGCAGTTAAGACTGAGGATTTTAAAAATAAGTTAAACAGGTGGTCTCTATCCTTAAGCAACTTCAATTATCTGTGAAAATACAAAACATTCCAATTTTTTGTCTTTCATATTGAACTGTGGTTTAAAAAAAATCTGTGTTAGACACAATTCTTTGATTACTTTAAGTTTTTCCTCTCAGGTGTGAATTTTAATAAAGCTCACTTTGAGCCAAAAAATATAACTTCTGTGGGGATATTTCTTAAAGTATACTATTTTTTCAGTTGTAAATTAGTAAGGGAACTGGGTTTTATGAACAGGATGGGAGGCCTGTTAGTTAAACTTAATTTTTTGTTTTAATTAACTAAAGAGAAAAGTCCTGTTAGGCAAAATAAAAATTCTAAGATTTTTAAATCATAGTCTTTTGTTCTAGCTTCTTAATAACTGATCTTCTGTTGGACACTGATTATGTTTATTAGTATTTCTTACTATTTTCTTCCTTCTTTCTGGATAATTTTCACAATTTTATCCTTTACAGCATTCACAATACTTTTTTTCGCATCTTATTAATGTTCTCTACACCCTGAATTCTGAGACAACTCCTTTTTATTTATTTATTTTTTATTGATGTTTTAATAGTTCTTAACATTGTAAAATTTTGGGTTGTACATTTTTGTTTGTCCATCACCATATATATGACTCCCTTCACCCCTTGTGCCCACCCCTCACCCCCATTGCCCCTGAGACAACCCCTTTTAAAGCTCTTTATTATTGCCTAACTGAAATATAAACAAAAAATATATAAATAAAAAATCACTCATTGTTTTGGCCATTTGCTTCACTGGACATTTAGAACTCTTCCCTGGCTTTGGTATATTTCTTTATTGGAGAAAAAGTAAGATATTTAAAATCATTCTTATATATAACAAGCATCTCAGAATCTCAGATATACTTTATTCTTTCTCAAGTAAGCATTGCTAGGAAACTTATGTGTATTTGACTAAAATTTAATTTTTATTTTTTTTTATTTTTATTTTTTGTGACGACTAGCCCTGAGCTAACGTCTGATGCCAATCCTCCCCTTTTTTCTTGAGGAAGATTGGCCCTGAGCTAACAACCGTGCCCATCTTCCTCTACTTTATTTGGGACACCGCCACAGCATGGCTTGACAAGTGGTGCGTCGGTGTGTGCCCGGGATCCGAACCTGCGAACCATGGGCCACCGAAGTGCAGTGTGCACACTTAACTGCTTGTGCCACTGGGCCGGCCCCTAAAATTTAATTTTTAAATGAGCACATTGATACCCTGGCCAAGCAAACTTCCTCAGAATGAACTAGGGTTTTTACTTGTATTGGGAATACTGAACAGTCTGTCCAATAGAAACAAAAACAATTTAGAGAAAGAATGAAAAGAAAAAAATAGATAAAACAATCCCTTAAGAGGTTGAAAGGCATATAAAATCCAACATATAAAACATACTAGTTTATCTAGAAAGTTGGCCATGGACAAACAAGAGTGCCTTGAAAATAGCTGCTTTATTAGGAAATGGGAGCAGCAGACAAATAAGAGGCCTAAAGAGGAAGCAGGTATTCATTAATTCATTAATGATTCATTAATTTTGAATGTGCCCTTTTAGGGGCTTAAATCCTCTTAAAGAAATAAAAGCTAAAATAACCTAGAGTACTATAGTTTAAATATTGAAGCTGCAAGAATAGAATGAAAGAATAAAAGTTATAAAATGTATTTACTGCCTTGAAATCTGCTCTGTTATTGAGTATCCTCATCTTTTGTTTTTGGTTGGCTAGTGAACATAATCTAAAGAGTGCTTCTTGTTAATTATTCTAGGAAGTGCAGTGGAGAAATCCTTAGCTGTCAGCCAAGGTGGAGAGCTCTATGAAGAATGGCTAGAACTTAGAAACGGTTGCCTCTGCTGTTCAGTAAAGTGAGGAATGTGTTTACTGTGTGCTTGTTGGTTTACTATAAATGTTTAATGATTGCATTTCTGGCTTTGATTTTCTTGTGTAATTTAACTGAATTTACACATTCTGCTCCATTGTATTTTCAAATAGAAATAGACTTTTATTAGGATGCATTTTCTTAAAGTGCTTTTTGCTATCATTTCTTTTTCTATCTGCTCTAATGCTTTGGTCCTTTTATTGAGTTATTGTTTTTGATGTCAGGATTTATTTAGTAATCTCTGTGGTGTATGAAAGTCTCATTTCATGAGTAAAAAATGATTATTCTGAATTTAATAAGTCATTGGTCTTTTTTTTTTAAAGATTTTATTTATTTATTTTTCCCCAAAGCCCCAGTAGATAGTTGTCTGTCATAGCTGCACATCTTTCTAGTTGCTGTATGTGGGACGTGGCCTCAGCATGGCTGGAGAAGCGGTGCGTCTATGCGCACCGGGGATCCGAACCCCGGCCGCCAGCAGCGGAGCGCGAGCACTTAACCGCTAAGCCACAGGGCCGGCCCAAGTCATTGGTCTTATTTCCAAGAATTCAACCTCTACAAAACAAAAATAAATGACCATCAAAAAAGAGAAAAACCTCACGTTATGTTCCACCAGTTATAGTTGTTTCCAAGGACAGTGTCTGTTTTATGCACTAACATAGCACAGATCTTAGAAAAGGACCTGACACATAGTAGTCACTCAGATTATTTGTTGAGTGAATTAGGAATGTTAATACCTGTACTATTGATTTTGTATATTTTAGTGAATTAAATTTCTTCTACATCATTTACTGTTAGGTATTTGACTTTGAGTTGAATGTATTAACGAGGCTAAAATCGTAACAGATTTACTTGAATAACCAAAATGCAATCCATTAAGTATTTTTTTGAACTTTTGATATTATAAGAGAAAAGATAAATTAAAGCCTGGTACCCTAATTTGGAACAGAATTAAAAGGTATTTAGTGGTAGTGTTTCTTTAGCTATTTTATTAAATGACTGTAATTCATAAATTTTATCATTATTTTGGATGTTAATTTTTTTTTTTTCATAGAGCTATAAAAATAACAGATTCTGACTTACTTTAGTCAGGAATATTAAAATTCTCTCTACTTTTAATTTTAATAAAATTAAAGTATTAACTCATCGTGTATTTGATTTTACCTATAAGTGTACATCAATGTTTTTTCCTCCCATTGGTGAATATTGGATGGACGTTTTGTTGGGAGCTTGGGAGTGAGTTAAATATTCACATGCTTCAAGATATTTTTGTCTCAGGCTACTGAATATATTTTAAAATGTTTGTAATGATCACTTTAAAATATTCAGGCCATCAACTGTATTTTATGTTTTGGTTTTCTCCAGGGACAGTGGCCTTAGAGCTATTGAGAATTTGATGCAGAAGAAGGGGAAATTTGATTACATACTGCTAGAGACCACTGGGTTAGCTGATCCTGGTAAGATATGATTATTAATAAGCAGAATATAATCCTTAAACATTTTTAAATAAATGTGCTAGAGAAATATCTAAAATGAGTGTTAAAGCTTTACTCTAGATTAAAGATTCTTTTTTGGTTTAAAAGAGGAAAATTACTGGGTTGTCATGTTTCTTCGGCAGATGAATGATGATCAAAGTACTTGATACTTTTAATGTGATTATAGAATTTGAAGTTTTATTGATTGATTTAGGGTTATTGGCAGGAACAAAAGTTGTTAAAAATATGGAAATTGAGGAAAAATGGAGACATTCTACTTCTAAGTGTGTATTTGATTGATTATACTCTACAGAGATCTTATTTCTGATTACTTTCTAATCCAGCTTTCTTAGGGGGTCATTTAGAGAATTTTAAGGGCTTTTGGACTCTAATTTCAGCAACACTTACTCCCTTTAAATTAATTGTTAGCATTTTGTTCTTCTACTACTAAACTTGAAATAATTTTATTTGTAGATGCTGTCATAAGGTACAGAGTTAAATTGAACATACTGGGCCTATTTCCTGGCGTGGAATTAATAATGATTATCCATGAAATTTTTATCTCTGAATGGAATCACATCTAAACTTCCCTGTTGAAAGCCACATGAAGTCAACTTGTTTCTAACAATGAGTTTCTGTTTCCTTCTTACCCAAATAAATTTTACGTAACATCCTTATTTCTAATTTGCAGAAGATTTAGTGTTCGTTTTGTAAATCTGAACTATACCATTATTTCTTTTTTGATCTGAGTCTATGGCGTTGGGCCATAAAACTATATTAAAGTACTGTTTGGGAATAATTTATTAAAAGGGTCATAATTGTTTAAAAGAAATATTGGAGTATACTGAAGGTTCAAGTACAATCAGTGGTTATTGCACCTCGAAGTATTAGATAATAACATTTTCCCCATGTTTTCAAATTAGTCTTGAGTTAGGCTCTTTTGGTCCTTATAGTAGGTATGGATTTTTCATACCTACTTTCTTATAGGTCTTACTAATGATAGGACTTGACTATTACATTGGTGTTAAATATTAAATTAAATATGATAAGATGGGAAAATACATTGTATGCCTCTTTTTGAAATAGCGAATATCAGTTTCTTTCATTGTAGCCACTTTATGGAGAAAAACTTTTGTAACTTTTCTTTGAGAGTAGGTGAGTTTAATAAATCATGGTTCAGCTTTTCAGAGAAAGAAAGAAAAGTTAAAGATCTCAGAGAAAGCATTTGTACAAATTGTAGGTGTCAGTGGGTTAATGTTTCTTGCTTCTAACTTTCTTTAAAATAATGATTTTGTTGTTTGGGTAAAAATAGAATATTCATTATAAAAAAAAACTTAATACCTAAGAAAATACAGAGAAGAAAGTTTAAAAAAATCACCTTGTATCTCACTACTGTGAAATTCAAGTAGGTAAATTTCATTCCAGGGATTTTTCTGTGTCAGTGCTACTCACTGTGGTATGTTGAATGACAGTCTCAGCCTCATCTGGGAGCTTGTGAAAGATGCAGATCTTGGGCCCCATCCCAGATCTACTGAATCAGACTCCCTAAGGGTGGGGCCCAGCAGTCTGTTTTAGGAAGCTCTTCAGGTGATTCTTATACATGCATAAATTTGGGAGGCTCTGCTCTATGTACTTCTGAAAGCTGTATAAATATACAGAAATAATTTTATAAAAATGGGATCACATTCTTTGTGCTATTCTTAGTAATTATTAATTTAATTTTACTTGAATCTAAAAGGAGAAAACTTGAAGAAGTGAAGGAATTGCTGAATATTGGATAAATGCTTCTTCACTGCAAGAGATATGAGTTAAGAAAAAAAAGAAAAAATTATAAAGAATGTAAACAAATTGGACAAGTAATTTTTTAAACTACATTTAAACCACTGACTCCCTGGCGTAAAAGATGAAGGAAGTAACACTCTTCCTTTTTCTTCAATTTCCTGGTTTTCGTTGATTGTGTTCTGTGCTATCTTGTCAAGGTTTCTAACATTTGCCTTCTGTCATGCTTTTATTTAGTTCTATATTTAAACAGTTTCAGTCCTCATTACAGTCCTGTGGCTTCTCCATTCCTCAGCTGATCAGTCTCTTGATTGAATTTCATGATCAGGTAACCTTCTCAAGCTATAGCTGCTGTATTCTTCAGGTTCTTGCATACTTTTTTGCTTGAGAATACTTGTCTTTTGTTTTTATACTTGAAGGATTACTTGGCTGGGTATAAAATTTCCAGATCACAATTTCTTTTCCTCAGAACTTTGCAGATGTTGCTCCATGATCTCTTAGTATTTTTTGATTGGCTGGATTTCCTTGTCCAGTATTTTCTCTTTTTGTTTTATCAGGAAGGATTTGTAAGTGCTATATTTTTTGAGTTTCAATGCTGTTGTTTCCTTTAATGTTTGAGAATGTCTGCCTGTTGTTTTTCGTTCTTGAAAAACAACTTGGCAGGAATAATATCCTTAGGAACACTTTCATTAGAACTTTGTTGTCATTATTTTTTTATGTTGGAGCAATGAATGTTACTGTAGAAAAGTCTGTTTTTCCCGCTTCCTTGAACATGACTTGCTTTTTCATCCAAAATGCCTGAAATTTTTTTTTGAAGTTCAGTAATATAACCAAGATACAGCTAGGTGTCATTCATAGTCACTTTTTCCCAGATTAGTTCTTCATTTAGGGACATTTTCCTTATTTATTACTATGAAGAGATTTTCTGTCGAATTATTGGGTCCTCTACATTATGACACCAATTTTCTTTATATTGAATTTTCTTTTTCCATATCTATTTTCTTGTAATTGTTTTGGTTTGTCTTTTGCCTCAGCATTTACTGTAATCATCTCAAACCTTCCTTTTTGACAGTGATTCTATTTCCAGCAATGTGTTCTGCTCCTTGATGTTTTAAATGAATTAATTGGTTAAGTAATGGTATATTGGCCCTAAGTTTCTTTCTTTAGCACTACAAACTACCTTTTCATATTATTCTGCTTTATTTTGCTTTAGAGCTTGTTTTTAATTAAGATTATGTTATTTTTAAGTTCTTTATTGTGAAGAAGCCCTTGAGAATTTTCTTCGGCTTCTTGGATTATGTTTCCATAATGGGTTCTTTGCCATTTGTATGCCCTATTCATTTATTCAGTTTTTTTCCTTTCTGCCTTTTATCTTTTTTGTTTCTTCTAAGCTGTAATACATGTGCATAGTTTTTTCAGCATGTTTATGCTTAAGGTAGGAGGCTTAGAGAACTTCTATCTATGGTAGTCCCCCTGTATCCAAGGTTTCACTTTCCATGGTTTCAGTTACCTGCAGTCAACCATGGTCTGAAAATAACTACATCACAATGCCTGCATCATTCCCCTCACTTCATCTCATCACATAGGCATTGTATCATCTCACATAATCACAAGAAGAAGGGTGAGTACAGGACAATAAGATATTTTGAGAGAGAGAGAGACCACATTCACATAACTTTCATTACAGTATATTGTTCTTTTTTTTTAGAGCAAGCACACCAAAGTGGTTGCTCCTAAGGAATTCCAACCCAAGAGATAGGTCACATGTATGTACCTTATAATTTTATATGTTTATTTTTTCCCCCAAAGCCCCAGTAGATAGTTGTATGTCATAGCTGCACTTCCTTCTAGTTGCTACATGTGCGACACGGCCTCAGCATGGCCAGAGAAGCGGTGCATCTGTGCGCGCCCAGGATCCGAACCCGAGCCGCCAGTAGCGGAGCGCGCACACTTAACCGCTAAGCCACGGGGCCGGCCCTACAGTATATTGTTCTATTTTATTATTATTGTTGTTAATCTCTTACTGTGCCTAATTTATAAATTAAACTTTATCATAGGTATTTATGTAGAGGAGAAAACATAGTAAGTAGAAAGTTCGGTCCTATCTGTGGTTTCAGGCATCCATAGAGGGTCTTGGAACTTATCCCCTGTGGAGAAGGAGGGACTACTGTACTTAGATGTGGTGTTGATGAATTCTTTTTGATACCCTACCCGTGTTACCTAATCTTGTTTTTCTCCTGAGCCTCGGTTTAAAAGCTGAGTATTGCTGGGAGCAGGGAGGGGAAAGCAAAGGAAAAAGGGGTAACTCAGAGAGCCACATGGGCAATATGACTTTCAGCTCTGCTCTCTTAAAATGTCAAGTGTTTCCCTTCTGGGTTTGCTCCAGCTATTCATGAATATACATCCCATACCTTGGGCAGGGACATCCTTGAGCCCCAGACCTCTTCATTTTGCTCTGTGCCCTAGAAAGTGACCCCTCCTCCACAAATGTGGAGATGGTTGGAAACTTTTACCTTGAAGATTTTTTGTTGACTTTTCCTTGTATTGCTTATTCCTCCCTCAGTTCTACTTCTTGCCATTTTGAAAGCTGTTTGATAAGTATTAGGATTTTGTAAATTATTTTCTTATAATCTCTTAGGATGGGAATAGAATTAAGAACTATCATAAGTCACATAGAACTTCGTGTTTCTTATTTTGACTCACTTTTCAAAATTTATGCGAGAGGTATATTTGATTGATGCTGATAAAATTTGGCTTTTTAAATTTTTTTGGTTTATTTGTTATTCAGTTTTGAAGAAGGGAGATTCTATAATCTATCTCAGGGTTTCTTTTTTTTTTTTTCTTTTCAAGTTTTTTTTCTTCTTTTTTTTTTTTTTTTTTTTTTTTTTTTTTTTTTTTTTTTTTTTTTTTTTTTTTTTTTTTTTTTTTTTGTGAGAAAGATCAGCCCTGAGCTAACATCCATGCTAGTCCTCCTCTTTTTGCTGAGGAAGACCGGCTCTGAGCTAACAACTATTGCCAATCCTCCTCCTTTTTCCCCCTAAAGCCCCAGTGGATATTTGTATGTCATAGTTGCACATCCTTCTAGTTGCTGTATGTGGGACGTGGCCTCAGCATGGCCGGAGAAGCGGTGCGTCGGTGCGCGCCCGGGATCTGAACCTGGGCCGCCAGTAGCGGAGCGCACGCTCTTAACCGTTAAGCCACGGGGTCAGTCCTCAGGGTTTCTTAACCTTGGCGTAAATGACATTTTGGGTTGGAAAATTCATTGCTGTAGGGGGCTGTCTTGTGCAGTATAGGATGTTTAACTGTATCCCTGGCCTCTATCTGCCACATGCCAATAGAGATGACCAAAAATATCTCCAGACATTGACAATACTCCCTGGGGAGAAAAATCACCCTGGGTTGAGAACCACTGATCAATTTCATTCTCCCATCTTTACTCTTCCTGCTAAACACCTGCATCCAAATTTTAAATAGTTCTTTCTTGAGTAGCCTGGTAAGTATTACTAAAGATAAACATCAGATTTAGAATAAAAGCTCTAGTATACTCTTACAGTTCAACTTAATACTAGGCCAATATTAACTGTAGGACTTATAAGCTATCTGAATAGAAGTCAATGAATTAAAAAAAATGATTTGTGTACAATGTTAGGAATTTTAATGAGTGAAAAAAATTAATACTTTTTTTATGACTTATTCTTTGGAGTAATGATACTCACAGTAGATTTACTTTTTTCTCCCTCAATGATTAAAATCATGTTGTTAGCCAAGTAAGTGAAGAAAATGCTTATTGGCAATTCAGTTGCTTCCCGTTTAGGAGACTGACACTCTCCAGTTCTAAGCTAAATAATTGTCATGGTAAAGTAATTTCCTTGAAAAGGACAGGCATTGATTCAGCCCCTGTTACTCACAAATCCTATTTCAGTCAAATTGGAAAACTATTAAGTTTTTGGGAAAAAATCAATAGATATCAGGAAACCATTAGATCTTGTGGCCCTTGCTATATCTTGCATGAGTAATCACTGTAAACAGCTGACAGGTATTTCATTGTTGACACAGAGTGATGCTTGGGGGACCACATCTCGTCAGGGTAGGTGGACAGCTTTAGACGTTGGAATGGGTTCAGTTATCCTTGTTTTTCCCCAGTACTCATTCTTTTAGACAGCCCTGTCACTAACTGGACCTGTGATGCTTTGAAAAATCAAATACTTTCTTTGCTGTCAGTTTTCTTTTTCATGTGTTGTGGCATACTTATCAGGGTGTGTGGTTTGGTACTGAACAGTTTCTGTCAAAAACAAGTTTTAATTTCTTATTTAGAAATTATTTTTTCTCAGACCCAAATTTTATGTCAGTACTAAATAAATAGTGTAAGGATTTATTAGTAATGCTATAGAGTATATAATTTTACTTTTTGTTCTTTGTTCTATAAAATTTGTAAGTTTTTAAAATATTTTTGACAATTGATTTTTGGAATTATCTATCTTTTGTTTTGCTTTCTTTTAGAGAGATAATTCATTATTTGTGAACCGTATGATTATTATATTCAGGAGAGAGAAAATAAAAATAAGTCCTATGTGCATGCAGCCATACTGCCCATATTATTTGATAATACCTGTTGGTAAATTATTATGGCATGGGTAGAAGCTTGGTGTTGAATTTGTATGTGGTAAGAGTTGGTTTATTTTTTTCTTTGAAGAAAAAAGGGAGAGGGGAAGAAATAGGTATGAATAGTAAAAGGTTCTATCACTGTAAATCCCATAAGAAGTTTGGAAACCCGTATTTAATTTGTATATGTGTTTGCCTACTAATTCTGTTTAAGCAAATTAAAAAACTATGGATAGAATCGTGTTTCTTAGTTTGAAGAAATATATATATATATTTTTTTGTGAGGGACATTGGTCCTGAGCTAACGTCTGCCAATCCTCCTTTTTTTTGCTGAGGAAGACTGGCCCTGGGCTAACATCCGTGCCCATCTTCCTCTACTTTATATGGGGTGCTACCACAGCATGGCTTGGCAAGCGGTGCGTCGGTGTGCACCTGGGATCTGAACCGCCGAACCCAGGCCGCCGCAGCAGAGGGCGTGCACTCAACCACTTGCGCCACCAGGCCAGCCCTGAAGAAATATTTTTATTTGATGAATATTATTATATATTTTCAGGTGCTGTAGCTTCTATGTTTTGGGTTGATGCTGCATTAGGAGTTGATATTTATCTTGATGGTAAGTTAAAAACAAATTTTCCTTTGTTTTCAAGTAAAATATTATTATGGTTAAGATCGTTTTTGTTCATTTATGTTACAGTTTTAATTCCTTGTATTGTTACTCTTTTTAAACTTGTTTAGTTAGATGATAAAGTAAGTCTTTGTTCGTACAGATTCTAAAGCCCCAGACAGTGGTAGAATGAGATGTCAAGTCTTAATCTCAACTCCCAATTTAGTGCTTCCACGAAGGGTTTCCTTCTAAAATACTGTGTAGATTTCCTGTATCCTCTGTTGTTTGATTTATGCACTTAGTACAAGGTTAGAGCTTTTTATTTTAAATAAAATATACAGTATGAGGATCATATTTCTGCTTTCATTTTCCCTTGAAGATAAGAATTAAGGAAAGCTACTCATCCCTTACTTTATTATAATTTTTTTAAAATTTTATTTATTTATTTTTCCCCCAAAGCCCCAGTAGATAGTTGTATGTCATAGTTGCACATCCTTCCAGCTGCTGCATGTGGGACACGGCCCCAGCATGGCCAGAGAAGCGGTGCGTCGGTTCGCGCCCGGGATCCGAACCCGGGCTGCCAGCAGCGGAGCGCGTGCACCCAACCGCCAAGCCACGGGGCCGGCCCCATCCCTTACTTTTTTTACCTTAACACCTTTGGGCAATTTTATTCGTAGACTTCATTTAAGACATATTAGAAACTGTCTGTATTAGGCAACTATGTCCATTTCCTGCCTACTGCCCTTCACCTTTCTTTAAACCAGGTCTTTCATAGACTAAGGGATGAAATTTAAGAATCACTGAAGCTGGGCCTCCTCATTTAGCCCTAATATATGTGGCATGTAGCTGTTGAATTCCTTAGGCATCATCAAACTCATTCTGCTGTTATCCTTTGAAAAAGTTATTTAGCATATGAAGTCAGAGATTGCCAAACTGATTGTTTGGAAACTTAGGTACATGTTATGTAAAACATTTGTGTGAGTTAGATTTGGTGAGAGAGATTAGTAATAAGATAGCCTAAGACATCTCAGATTTGCTCAGCAATAATTTATTATTTATTTGTTTATTTATTTTTTGTGAGGAAGATCAGCCCTGAGCTAACATCCATGCCAGTCCTCCTCTTTTTGCTGAGGAAGACCGGCTCTGAGCTAACATCTATTGCCAATCCTCCTCCTTTTTTTTTTTTTACCCCAAAGCCCCACTAGATAGTTGTATGTCATAGTTGCACATCCTTCTAGTTGCTGTATGTGAGATGCGGCCTCAGCATGGCCGGAGAAGCGGTGCGTTGGTGCGCGCCCAGGATCCAAACCCGGGCCGCCAGTAGTGGAGCACGCGCACTTAACCACTAAGCCATGGGGCCGGCCGCTAAGCAATAATTTAAATGTTAAGAAAAGTCTCGATTTTGATTATGTGAAAATAAAACTAGAATAACCTGTCTTGTATAATTTATCACATTCCACTTTATGTTATGAAATTTCTTTCATCATTTTGGATTGTAAGCTTTTTAAAGGCTAGAGAAATCTTATTTTCTTATTTGTTTAAATATTTAATTTTAAAAATGTATTTGTTTTATATCCTATCTAGTGCCTGAAAATAGTGCTAGGCACTCAGTACATATTTGAAATGCATCTACTTCTTAGTGGAATTGAATTAAATTGCAGCACTGGCAAGAGAAAAAAACAATCTTTTATTGAGTAACATTTGTGAACTGAAATAGATTAGTTTTAATGTTCATTCTCAAGTATAAAGGTGATTAAAAGGTTTATTCTTTTGTAGGTATCATCACTGTTGTGGATTCAAAATATGGATTAAAAGTAAGTTGAAAGATTGCTTGAGTAGTTAGTTATTCCTTAAGAGCTAGGTATATGGGATTGCTTATGTCATTTTCTCTACATTTGTGTCTGAAATTTTCCTTAACAAAAACTTTTTTTAAGGATCTTGAACAATAGATGAAATTTGTATGTGTCTTTTAATTATTTTGTGTTTTTAAATTAAATAATTATTTCCTTTTACTCTGACTTGATGTGATAAAAGTTGGAAGTGTAATATTTTATAATAAGGATATTACAGAATAAAGTTTGGGTAATAAAGTTTGGGTATGTGTAACTCCTCTAGGATTCAACCCCAATGTTGGTAAAGTTTTTTTCTGTATAATAGAGGAAATTGAGCTTGATAAAGCATATGAGAGCTTATTTTTCTTGTTAAACAGCCATCAGACATGAGCCGGGGATAACTGAGTTTTAAAAAAATGTTGCTTTACCTTATTTTGAAGAAATCAGGATTTATATATAGGTTTAGTGAGGAGAAACTCTCCTTTAAAAGGCTGTGAATGTTTTTTAACTACCAAGGTCCTCAAATGTATTTAAATGGGCTTCAATTTATAAAATGCACTTACTAAGATTTTTTTGTCTGTGTGTGAGGAAGATTAGCCCTGAGCTAACATCTGTTGCCAATCTTCCTGTTTTTGCTGAGGAAGATTGGCCCTGGGCTAACATCCATGCCCATCTTCCTCTACTTTACATGTGGGATGCCTGGCACAGCATGGCTTGACAAGCGGTGCGTTGGTCCGCACCCGGGATCTGAACCTGCGAACCCCAGGCCGCCAAAGCGAAACGCGCGAACTTAACCGCTACACCACCAGGCTGGCCCCCTAAGATTTTTAAAAGCATGTTGTTGCATAAAGTAAAAGTGTTTCTCAATTTTCCAAGTGAAATATTACTAAAGGCAGAAGAGAAAGAAATTATCCTCTGGTCCCAATCTGGGGTATGGATAGTCCCCAAAGTAATCATTTCTTAGAAGTTTAAATTTAATGTTTAAAAATTCATCTCCATTTTCTATTCTACTCCACATTATATCTGAATTTGTTAATTTGAAAAGTTTGTTTTTCTTTCAAACCTTCAACAAAACTATACTCTAGGGATATATGGCAAGCTTGTCAAATGGTTACCAATACCCTTGCACTGGTCCTTCAGTTCCCTCAGGAGTAGAACACCCTAACTTGAGAAGTTTGGGAGATAATTCCTTTTTAGATTTTTAAGTCCAAATTTATTAATGATCTTAAGAATCAAAGAACGATCCCGAATATTACAATTTTACTCAGAAAAATTCTGACTCTTCTGAAATCATGATATTTCTAGCAAAATATTTACAAAGGAAGCAAAAAAAAAGCCAAATTCTTCATTCTGAATGTTTATTATAAGCATGTTTGAATCCATCTTCTATATAAGTTTATTACCAAATTTTGGCTACCTAAGGGATAGATAGCAGTTAGGATGTTTTGGTTTTTTGATAGACTTAAAGTGCCATACCCAAAGTCAAACTCTTTATTGATGATTATAGGAATAATAGGAATAATTTTATGTGAATTTGAGTGTGCAGAGGAGTTAAATAGAATCTATTATCAGTGTGATAGAGGCCAAAAAAACACAAAGCAACATTCTGAATAATGCAAACATAGTAAACGTTTAACCCTCTGCCACCTTGATAAAACCTCTTAAATTATTAAATCAATATACCTACACAAAACTGACATACTGTCAGGATAATGGGAACTTTAGATTTTCTGAGTCAGATGCCAGATAAATAACTTTTCCTTTATATAAAGAATTTGCCGACTTGTCCAATTCCTCTGGTTGCAAAGCTTGACCTCAGTAGCTGCTTGTGATTCAGAGAATTCTGAGGCAGTACAAGTAATGACACTTGGATAATGGGCAGCAATTTAAGGGTGTCATGCTTCACAGAGCCAGCCCATCACAAGTAAAGCTGAGAAATGGTACCCTGTGGCCGGCCAGCCAAATTGAAACTGAAGTGGTAATTGATATCATGGGCTATCACTCTAATGGGATTGTCACCCATTGATCTGAAATATTCATTTTTTAATCACAGCCAAAGAATTGGACAACTTCAAATGACAGCTCTCTATTCTCAAGACTTGACACCCAGGCTACTGACATTGTTCTTTTCAGTTCTACAAATGTGACAGCATTTAATGCAATAGAATCAATGGATGAAGTTACACAGTAAAGGTCAAGTGAGAGGTTTCTTTTTGGTTCTTCTATTATATTGCACAAGCTGTTGAAACAATTCAGTCAGAAAACAGTTTGGCTTGGAAAAGACCAGAAAAATAAATAGACTGACATTATGCAATAATCTTTTTTTAAAAGCTAAAATGGTGTTAGATCTATAACTGATCCATTGGAAAGAAATAGCGGCTGCTTCTTTTTTTTAATGTCATCTGACACCTTTGACACTAGATTTATTTCCACTTTGGACAACAATAGTTTTTCTTTCTTTCTTTCTTTTTTTTGGTCCAGCTTGTTTCTATTTCTGCAGAAAAGGACACCCTATAACCCTTATTGAAGTTGTGTCTACCATGGTGTTATTTCAAAGGGTTCCTTTCTTTCTTATGGTATGCTAAGTTGGAGGGTTGAACCTTAACGTTTTGGATATGTTGGATTAATTAGTAACAAAATTATCTTTGTCTTTTTTGATATATAAGCAAAAGGCACAGTCTCTAAGCAGAGATGAGGCATCCTGTGGGGATATATATATATATATATATATCATAAAATATTTTGCAAAAAAGATTTGGAAAAATTTTTCCTTTCTTGCCTGTACAGTAGAATAGAATGTCAAAATTTCCATTTTTTAACTTTATAAATAAAAGTCATCTGACTTAATGACCAATGGTGTGTAATGTGTTATTGGAGAATGTCCCTTTTGAATAGCAAACATTGGTTTTAGTCTCTTTGCAAAGTTTGACTTGGGGAGGTAGGAAGTTGCCTAAGGGAAATGTTGGGCTGATATCCAGAGAAAATAAACATTAGTGTGCATTTATTATTTCTTTATGTTCATATAGCCTTCATATATGCATAGAACAGGGCATTTATCTCTTCTGCAGAATTTTGTATGATTATTACATATCATTCTTAATAGAGTTGTACATATTGGTAGGTATTTATTTTGGAGAATTTTAACGTGTTTTTATATTTGATACTTTTTGACTCCCTAGAGGTAGTAAAATTTTAGTCCATCCCAGTTAACTTTGAGTGAAAATTTCTAATCTTCTGGAGAAGTAAATCCATTAAAAACATGAGTTACTTTGTGAAATTGTTATTTTATTTGTTCTGTTTAGGTATGGAAATACAAAAACAAATCTCTACTTTTCTTTCCATGTCTTTTTTATACCCCACCAACTCACAGCCAAAAGCCCCAAATTTGTATGTGAATAAAGCTTCCAGAAGATCAACAATACAATATTTTGAAAAATATTTAAAATTGGTAAATGAACTTCAGTATTACAGGATCATTCAGAGACAGATGCCTTGCTAAAAATACATCTTTGTTAAATAGATTTACTGCTGAATAGGAAAGGATTTGTTATTGCACATTATACAGAATTTTTCAAATAACAACATCCATGTATTTATGTTAACAAATAGGAGGTGTTAACTAGAATTCAGTGAACAGGTGTTTGTTGAGCCTGGGTGCCAGGTACTATTCCCGGGATGGTAACAGCCTTATTCTGTAGAGGACATAATAATAGGATTTGTTATGGCCTCAGGCTAAGAATAATTAGCAAAAATAGTAAACTTGGTCTTTTGGCAAGGAACAGTTTTGATACAATATTCTGCAAGTTCTGTGACTTCCATAATTTCAGAGTGGGTCTGCAGTTGAATTTATAGGATTGTACCTAAAGTGGAAATCAGTACATTACCGTAATTTTAGTTTAGTCTTGTTTCCCCCAAAATAGAATTTGGCAAACTTTTAGGAGAAAAAAGTTTTTCTCTAGAGACTTAACCAAGGCTATTGTTAGTAGTAGTAGTATTATTGTTATGTAAAATTATTACCAACTTGCTCTTAGGTTCCAAACTGTCCCAATACCTTAATGATCTACCTCCTCACAAATTTTGAAACTGGTTAGGTGAAGTACTTTTGAATGTGATTTTTAGATAATCTTTATGTATATGCTGTTCTGTGATTACAGCCATCCCTTGGTATCCCCAGGAGATTGGTTCCAGGACCCCCGTGGATACCAAAATCTGTGGATTCTCGAGTCCCTTATATAAAATGGTGTAGTATTTGCATATAACCTATGCATATCCTCCCATATACGTTAAATCATCTCTAGATTACTTTTAATGGCTCATATAATGTAAATGCTATGTAAATAGTTGTTATACTATATTCTTTAGGGAATAATGACAAGAAAAAAAATCTGTACATGTTCAGTATAGATGCAGCCATCCTAGGCCTTTTGATGCTAGGTTGGTTGAATCCATGGATGCAGAACCGGAACCCACAGATATAGAAGGCTGACTGTATTAACATTTGTGTAACACCGTATACAAGACTGATTTTACATGACATAAGAAGCTTGCACAAAGATTGTAAAATTATGTTCATTTTACTTATAATGAGCGTGTTTTCAATTTTTGAAAAATAACTCTTTGTTAGGGTATCCTGTGAGGTTGACAGTGTTAGATTTAGTTTCTTCTTTTATAAAATGAGGAAAATAGCCGTTTTCCATAATTGTTATGAAGGCTAAATGAGATGCGTGTAAAAAGATTTAATAATTTGTGAAGTTCGAGTCAAATACAAAGAGTGTTAATATAATCTAATTGCTTCTAACCTCAGTAGGCAGCTTTTATTTGATGGGACATCTATGGAGGGTTAAGGAAATGAAGGTGAAACATTTTTCAGAGATGAACCTTATGGCATTGATGACTTTAGGTGTATAAATATGATTATGGGGAAATAATAACTGCTTCCAGAGAGATGAAAACTACCTCGTGGGCCTATAAGTCAATCTCAAAATAGGTTTTTGGAGCTAGCTTGACTCTGGAGAGGTCAGCAAAATAAACAGTTGCACGAGAGGCCAAATCGCTCTAGTGTGAGTTTCTGAATGATAAACTGCTTTTAGGCTAGAATTAGGGCTGTGTTCTTCCCACAGCTTATTTGTTTCTAGGGAATATGAAGGGCCCAGTACTGAGTTCATATTGTGTATGATTCTGGGATGGGGGAGGCTGAGGTGGGGGTAGAAATGGAGGGAAGTATGTTAGTTTTTAAGAAAGTACCATTTCAGGGGTTATCTCTTTTTTTATAAGTAATAATGAATATTTAGAACAAGAACAATTTTGTAAAAAGGAAAATGCCTAAAATCTAAACTATAATATTCTGTGTTTTTATGACATTATTTAAATCAGGAGGGTTTTCTTTTTAAGAAAAAGAAGAGGTCAGGGGGACAAAATTTAAGCCCTCATCCCCCCCTCCCCCCAAAAATCCCTCAGGTTCACTTTAGGAAAAAAATTACAAATGAGGAAGAAAATGCTTTCAGATAGAAAAGTTAGTTCTGAATTTGTGTGTGCAGTAATAGGACTTGTTGAAGTCTTTGTTAGAGGGAGAAAGGAGTCCCTAAGGTAAAATCTTTTGTGTTGACATTAGATTTTGTGTTACACCACAGTAACTTTTTTCAAACTTTGTTTTTGTTTAGCATTTAGCAGAAGAAAAACCTGATGGCCTTATCAATGAAGCTTCTAGGTATTCGTATTTAAAGTATATATTGATACTGGCTAATTAGAAAGAGAAAATTATTAATATGAAAACCAAAAACAAACTGAGAAATATAATACCATTGTCAAGGAAAATTCATTATCTTTTTTCCTGTAGTTGAATTATTGCTATTTATAAGTCTCATAACTAAAATTTTATTTAAAACTATTTTTTATTATGGCATAAAGTAAATGCTGGGCACAGGAGTTGTTTTTGAGGAGGTTGGGAAATGTTAACATTTAAAAATATTTTCCTGTCCTCATACAATTTCTTTGGGATTGAAGATGATTATTAAAAGAGTTGGCTCGCTCACTGCCTTCTTTAACATAATTCATTTGATTCCAGTGGGCATTGTTACTCAGAACAACAGAGGAACAAATATGGAAATAGTTTTATTTTGGCGTTTAGAACATTTTTTGTTTAAATACCTTTATGTTCCTAATTGGTTTGTCTTTAGACTTATAAATATTTAAATTAGTTTGCCTACCCTATGCATATTCTTGCTAATGGGAAAAAGGTTTTGGAATAGAAGACAGTCACTAAATATGCTGCTGGGTTTAAGAGGGAGGCCCCCTGAGGTTTGCTAGGGATGATCCAGACATAAATAATAAAGACTGCAAGCAAGAGATGGATTCCCTTTCATTTTGGAGTATACTACTCTGTTGTTTTGTAGTCCTGACTAAACACTGCATTTGGTCTATAGTTATGATTCAAATTAGACTGAACTTAAATATTTTTGTAACTTTTTTCCTTATTAAAATGTTTATTATAGGAAATGTAAATAAGCCAAATAGAAAATAGCGAAATGTTACAAAAGCCAAAATAAAGTTAAACATAGAAGGCCTTCAATTTAAAGATTGCAGTTGTATATATTTTGAGATGTGTGCGTTCAATCTTTATTCATATAAAATTTACTTAAAAAAATGGGATTGTGATGTATATACTGTTGAAACCTTTTTCAATGAATTGAGTTATTTTTGTTAATTTGGTTGTATTGTTTGAGATCATCGGCTGTATTTATGCTTCAGGTAGCATAGAACTAGGATTTGGAACAAATAGTCTAGTGATTAAAATTTCCTGAAGAATTGAGGAAAGTTTAAAGAATCCTCAGCTTTGCTACCGCTGTTAATAGAAAATAGAACTTCTAATTATAGTAACCTATTTTGTTATCCAGCATTCTGTCAACTGGATTCTTTAACATGAATTTCTGTATATCTGTTTAATAGAGAAAATATATATTCATAGTGATGAAAAAGATATTTGTACAAGATCTGATATATCTTCTGAAGTGTATTTTTTAAAAAAACCGTTTAGTGTTAATGTTAAGTGAACTCCTTCCTTTTATTTCTTTGAAAATTATAGTAACTATTACATGGAATATTTTAGTAAGTAGACTATCCTTCTTCCTACCACATTAGATATCTGAATTTGATGTATTTCTTTACAAAGAAAATCATGAGTTGAAAATCATCCTAATTGTCAATCATCCTTGATTGTAAGCTTTTTGAGGCTTATCTTTGTAATTCCAGAGTAGCAAGTGAGAGCACTCAGTAAATATCTTTTGAATGAGTAATGTGAAATCTGAATGTATATGGTGATGAATACAAATTATTCTTACTATCTGCAGAATGATAAGTAGATTAGGAGTAAATTGAATCACTATGTAGACCACGATATAGTTTTTAACTGCTAATTAATCTGTAGGAGGTGTTTCTATTTGTTTTTAATTTCTTAACATTTCTCTTTTGACATCTGTTCTTTGTTTGCTAATTTAGGCAAGTTGCTTTGGCAGATATCATCATCATCAATAAAACAGACTTGGTTTCAGAAGAGGATTTAAACAAATTAAGAACAACTATTAGGTACAGAATTATAAGTGTGTTAAGTACCTACAAGTCCGAAGTGTATTCTATGAAATATTTTTACCATGATTCTTACCCTGCAGAAACTTAAGGTTCAAGGTTGACCTGCTTCAAGGATCATTAGGGAATCACATATATTGTTGTTGCCTAATTAACTATGTAAATAATAATATATAAAATTATTCCCTATTGCTTACAGAATACAGTTCAAAGTTCATAGACTGATATTCAGGGTCTTCTGACTTCATCCTCCTTTTCCTATCTTCTCTTTGACTTTTTCCCTATATGAAGTTCCCTAACTTTACCCAGGATGATTTACTTACTTTGCCATGATAGGACTTGCCAGATCCCTTCTTTATTCATAATGTGTTCTTACTCTCACTCTGCCAATCCTTGAATTCCTTCATCATCTCTGTTTTCTTTTTTAGCAATTTTATCCATTCTTTAGAGCTCCCACCACCCCACTTTTTCTCCCTCCCTTCTCTTAAAGTCACTTTCTTGACTCAGGTGGTCTCACTTTTCCCTGAACCCTCATTGACTTTGTCTTCCTGAACTGCCAACTAACCATGCATGTCTTCCAGCTTGCTTTAATGCCTTTAGTGTCCATGGCCAAGGCTGATCAACATAGGACAATATGAATGGTACTCAAATATGTGTTAAATGATACAGCAGTCATTTGGACTTTTCAAATGCGGTTAGAATTCAGGGGCTTTAAATTATTTTGTAAGACCTAAGCTAATAAATGCCATCTACAAAGAGACATTCGACAGCTTTCATTATTAGTCATCTTTAATTGGTACAATCTGCTGACATCAGATTTTGAATGTCAGTGCCAGTTCGTATAGTATATGTTATAAATTGAATCAGTGAAGGTAAGGCTCATTGGGAAATTGGCTGCAATGATTAATGATTGCATAAGAAAGAAATTCATATTTTTCTGCATATTTGGTGTTATTTTAATAGTAATATCCTCTCAGGCTTTACTATAAAAAACTTTAATAATGTCTCCATGTGGAGGGCAGGTAGTGTTGCATTGTGTTTAAGATCATGGACATTGGAATCTGCTTGGGTTCTAATCCTTGGTCTCTTTCTCACTGTGTTCTTTTTAAGTCTCATCTGTAAAACAGGAATAATACCTACTTCATAAGTTTGGTTTGAGTATTACATGAGGCAGTGTTGGTAAACTTTGCACAGTACCTGACACATAGTGCTCTGTTAGCTATTATTATCATTACTAAATTGTAGATTTTTTTTCTTAGTTTACATAGTAATTTCAAGTTTCAGTTAATAAAAAAATGAAAGAAATAGAAAGATGGTTGATATTTTTGAAAAGTCTAGAAAGATGAAAGTGGTGAATGGAGATTACTTCTTTTACCCCTTTTGACACTGGTCTCCTAAATTTTGTTTCTCTTTTCAAAATCCTATGCATCATTGTGATTGCTAGAAAGGAGAACATAATCTATGTAGCAAACATTTTTGGCATAAAAGGAGGAATTACAACTGGGCTTTTCTATCCCCATATTGACTATCTAAGCTGGATCCTTAACACCGGCAGTATTGACTGTTAGCCAGCTTGTTGCCAGCCTGTACTGTACAGCAATACCAGAAAAGAATTTGGACAGAGCACTTTGGTAAATTACAGACCCCTTTGGCTTTTTACCCTCCATTGTACATCAGACTTGCAACTGACTCGGCGTTAGATTTGAGGAGTTGGAAGAAGGTAAATATATTTGAGAGGAAATAGCCATCAGGTTATAGAGTGTATTCAAAAGAGAAGATTAAGAATTTTGTGAAATAGTAGAGAGACTTGTCTAAGAATCATTGTATGTGGAAAGCCTTACCCATGACAACAAACTTGAACAAATAGCAAATATCTTCAGCAAGTGACCTTAAAGGCAATGGAATTGATGATATAAAGATAAATAGGTGAGGTGTACAGTATGTTGAAAAGGATTTAACAAGCATTTTTGGTGCCATACAAAGGGAGCCATATCTCATTATCTTAGTATCAGAAAGGGGAGGACCGGCAGAGTGGGTACAGATCGTAGTTAGGGAACTGCAGAGGTTCTTCTGTAAAAGAACCTGGATGTGTGACTTAATGTTTCTGTGAATAGTGAGGACAGGCTGGGGTCAAAGCCACTCCTAACTAGGTTTTTATTTCTAGCGTGTGTATAGCCATTTCCACAATGTGTGCTTGGAGAAAATTGGGTATCAATAAAAATTTTGATTTATCTACTCATTTTAAGAACATTAGAATTCCTGGCTATTTATGAATCATTTTTTCTAAAGTGAAGGGTCTTTTTATAAATCACCAAGTAGCTCCTAGTCTGTCAGTTGTACAGTAGATTTTTGCATATCATGTTTTAATATCTAAGTGGAATATACCCGATTTATGATTAGAAGGAAAAGAGTAATTAAACTATAAAAAAATGTAAGTTTTGTTTTTCTGTTTATTTTTTCTAGCTTCAGATATGTTTGTGTATGCTTACTTTCTGTTTTAGGAATAATGTGCCTTGTGTGCCTTTTTAAAAAGTTAACACTTTCTTACCTTTTCTTCCTCATTTTTATATTTATTTCAGATCAATAAATGGACTGGGAAAAATTTTAGAAACACAAAGATCAAGGTACTTTTTAAAAGCTATTACTAATATTAACAATACATAACTTTAGTTAGTTAATATGTACCAAATACTAAGTAATTGATTCATATGCTCGATTCTAATATAAGAAAGAAACGTGTATTTTTAATAAACTGGGCCCAAAAATGTTGTTTTGAATGCTCTTTATAAATTAGTTTGGCGTATTTAGTTAATATATTTGCTTCTCCTTCTTGTAACTAAGACTGCAGAGCCGTGATAACACTGTGTAACCGAGCTTTTGCTTGAGGAGGAAGAAAACAGAGGACTCACAAGCACTCCAGAAAGTAACTAGTATAGAAATCTGAAAAAGTGTATTATTAGGAATCTTATCTTAATTTGAGGTATTTAAATGGCTTTTTAGTATTTTAAAAACGTTCTTAGTGTTTCATAGTTGCAAAAATAATCTGTCACGCAAAAATATATGGAAGCTTTACCTTTAAGTTCCTGATACATTCTTTTTTTTAAATTTTGATTTTCATTTCCTGTAGGTTCTTCTCTTTATTGTGCTCATACAGATATGCTTTACTTTATAAAGTAGATACGTTCTTAAAACATCTGTAAAATGGATTTCTGTAGATTGAACTCTGTTTTCCATTGAATGCTATCATGATTTCAGAAAATTTCTGTACAGGAGTGTTTTGTTAAGCTCACTTCATTCTCATGCTGAGAATGGCTCAGCAGCTGATAGACCCAGCAACATGCAGCCAGCAGCTCTGAGGCTTACAGCTGGCCGTGTAGTGCCACCCGTTCCTCAATTCAGAGATTCTTTCCTTGGAAGTGCAGCAGAAGCCTTAGTTGAGTGGCTTGTCTGCTATGGCAGAGATTAGAGGTGCTGACAGACTACCATAAGTGTTAGGCAGTAACAGCAGCAGCTGCTTATATGCATGTGAACAGCTGGGGAATTAATTTGGTATGCATTCTCAGAAGCCACTCATCTGCTGGCAGAGGTAGCAGATGAATGCCCTTAGTGTAAGTCCTCTACCAGCATACACCAAATGTGCTCTCTGCCTTGTTCAAATTCCAATGTAGAAATTCTCTGATAACCTAACTCATACCTTAGCCATTCCTCAGTATCTGTCTTCTTCCTATTGCATTTTACCATTTCCTTTCTCCTTAAGTTTTTTCTCCTTTACAAAAATGACACACAGACATTCACATAATGCTTAAATAAGTTTTTAAAAATCATATCCATAAGTAGCTATGGTTCTGTGGTAGTAACGTTTATTCAGTTCATATTTACGAACAATTTTTTAAAGCCCCTGGATTTATCTGATTTTTTTGTTGTTGGTTTTCATTTTGGACTTGTACATCCTACGTAAAGATTTCATCTTGAATACTTTATTATATAACAATTTTGATGTTTATATGACATTTCTAACATTTACTTTATTATGTTATAGAACAGGAAACATGCAGTGATTAAATTTTGTTACTTCAAATGGATGAATGAACAAGTCAATACAATCTCCTTTTTTCTTCTGTTTCTTCAGTGTCTGGTGCTTCCCAGTGCATCTGACAATCTAGGAGCTTTCTGAAATAGTACTTTCTTGCCTTGAGGACTGAAACTGGATTAGGATCCTTTTCAGTGAAGATCAGACCTCCATGGTAGAATTCTTATTATTAGGTCACGAATCTTTTATTAAATTTTCCCCAAATTCCTTGAGACATAGCAACTTGAGCTGGTTTAGAACCTAGAGATGTGGTTCTTAACAAAGGAGTTAAAACCACTCTGATGGAAGTTTTGTTTTATTGTTTGCTTTTTAAAAATTTTAATCCTGTAAGCATTTTGTGGTTGACAAATGCGAACAATAGTAAAACTGCAGTATTTAAGTTAAGGAATAAGAATGGTGTGTACCATTGTCTTATTGGTAAGACTTAAGTTGATTTTGAGGCCAATGGAAGTTCTAAGGGACCACATAGACTTCAGAAGTAGGAGTGGCAGATTAGAAAAAGTTCCATTCTTATCTTTTCCAGAATTTTCTTTTAATTTTGGAGATTTAGGTATACTGAACAGAGGAAAACCCAAATCCAATTGGTCATTAATAAGTTAATCTGTTCAACAAACTAGTTATTGAGCATTCTACTAATTGCTAGGTATTTCATGGCATATTGAGGATTTAAGCAGTGGATAAGCCAAGAACTTTGCCTTTAAGTAGATCAGTTATTTGGGGGAGACAGAAGCAAATAAGCAAAACCCGATATATTAAATATTAATATAAAAGGAATATTAAATGCACAGGGTCCTGTAAGAACAGGAAGATAGAGGAACAACTACTCAACTCTTGTTGATGAAGAGTCCGAAAATTTTGACTGAGAAGGTGATCATTGACCTGGGTCTTGAAGAGGAGTTTACAGCTGGACAAGAGTAGCAATGGCTTTCCAGGCATTAGGGAGATTTTGTATTCCAGGGACCTGTGAATATTTGAGAATGGCTAGTACGTGTGGTATTATGTTGCAGAGAGAAAGAGGTATGACTGAAGAGATGAAGAACTTACCACAAAGGGTCTTGAATGCCGTGATACGTAGTTTGGATTTTCCCCTGTAGGCAGCAAGGAGTTAGTGAAGGATTTTAGAAGCAGTATGACTCTTGAGAAATAGACTGAATGCAGAATAATTCTCCAAGTTAGTAAATACAGGAAGGAGGAGCAGCTTTGGGGTGGGTGGTGATAGCAGTGGGTTTGGGAAAGGTGATTAGTTCAGTTTTGTAAACATTGAGTTTAAGATGCCACTCGGGAAGACATTTGGAAATTTAGTTCTAGAGTTCAAGACTCAGCTCTTGGGACATCATGTAGTATCAACAACATGTAGATCTGGCATTGGCTGGTGGCCCCTGTTCGTGAGACTCACTGAACTTTGAGAAAAGATGACTATAGACAGTATCCCTGGAGTAGCCCCTGAACTCCCCTCCCCACCTTGGACAGCAGAGCCCTCTTCCTTTTCATTCTCCTGTCCCTGGTCTTAGACAGGCTACTTAAAGCAGTCTTTAGACATAGGGAAGCGTATCTTCATAGGGAAAAGATTAGGTACTCCTTGCGTAGATAGTTCAAGAAATTAGGAGAAAAGATGAGTTTTGGAAGTTTTTTTTCTTCCCCCTGTATGTTTGCTTCATGCTTCATTGTCTCATTTGGCTTTTACATGACGGTAATAGTCTTTTTATTTTTATTTTTTTCTATATTAATGTTTTGGAAAAGATCTGATGTTTTTTATCTCCGAAGGAGGAAAACATTTGATGCCATGGAAATTAGTTTTCTAGCCATGTGCCTTGGATGAGTGAGGGAATTTATTTTTCATGGCAGGAGTAGATTTGGGGAAAGCTTTCATGTGGAAGCTTAGACTTTTTCCTGTTTCACTCTCCATTGAGAATCTGATGAGATACAGTGAGATACTTTGATATTTTATTATTTTATGTAGAATTTAACCTGTACAGATCTATTGTTGATCCTGTCTGTTTTGGAAATATCAAAAGAGTCTGGGTATAAAGCAGAATTATCTCTAAACCTATGATATGTATTCTCAAGGACACTGTCACAGTGAAATTGTAGTTTATTTAGAAGCTTGTGTTTCAAAACTGATTTTTGGTATTCACACAATTGGTCTGAATTTTGATATTCACACGATTGGCATCTATAAATTTTCTGAAACTTGAAGTTATTTGCTAAGGTGAAGATGATAAACTTAAAGGAAGATTTCATTCATTTATCACTTGTCGGTATAAATATTTGCTCAACTGTGATGGTGAAAAAGGAAGTAAATATGTTTAATGTTAAGATTAGGTAACATTTGATCTCCTATGTAAATTGATGAAACATTTACTTCTTTGCTTGATCATTTTCCTAATTTTGCTCATCTAGAATGTCTAGAATTTGAAATGTTGTTACAGTCTATTAACATAGAACTTTGGAGTATTCTTCTTTTAAGATGGGAATTTGCCATGTGCCAGGATAAGCATTCATAATCTAATAGAGTGTTGTTGCCGCAAGCATGAGTACATGACAGACTGTTGAGAATGAGCAAGGCAGGCACAGGTGGGCAGTCCTCAGTTAAAGGAGGTGGTTTAGCTTACGTGTTTGTGCATTTAAAAAAATCTCAAATTTGACAAAGTTTTGTTTTCCTTGTGAAAAAATTTAATAAATGTTTGGCAAGTTCCTGGAGTCTAATTTTGAAACTTAATTGTACTGTTGTCATTTTCTTTAAACATTCCTTCATTGTAGCTGTGATTTTAGAGAAATCACTGTCCTCTGCTGTTTTATAGGCTCACATAAAAATTGGAACTCAATCACTAGTCTTTATAAATTTACGTTTATGTATTTGATCCAAACCTAATGCTAATTGTGATATGATATTCTCTTCTGATTTAAATCACTGCTTTCCTCATAAGTCTTAATTACCACTAAATAATTCTAACAGAAATAATGTTTATTCAGATAGAGCACTAACTGGGAAGTTTCAGTCTATATGCAGCTTCATTTTGAAGGAAATGAAATCAAACCACATTCTTTGGGTATAGATAAGGGTCCTAGAGTGAATATTTATGCTTTGGTTGTTTGACTCCTCGTATTCTTACATTACTTGTTATATCATGGAAGAGGGGAGGTGGAGTAAAAGAAATACAGAAATTCCAAAGGTAATGTACCTGTACTACCATGTTATTTCCATTTGTTCCACTTCCCTCATTTCATCTTTTGATTACTCAACTGCTGCTTTGACAAGTTCCAGTTCTTTCCAGTTCTTTAACTGATTTTCTTTTTTTGCTATAAAGATGTATTTGAAAAGCTCATAAATTTGATTGAAAAGACAATTGAAAAAAAAAAACTAGCTTATCGAAGCAATAACCAAGTAACTTTCTGCATTGATCTTCTACCGTTCACCCAGTTTTTTGAATTTTATGTCTAAATTTTATTAAAAAAATTTTTACAACGAGCTTTTTGTTCTTTCCCTGTCATTTTTGTGTTTCCCAAAATAGTGTGGTATACTGATTAACCTTTATGTCTACATTTTTACATTTTTGGCAAAAGAGTCTTAAAGATTTTTTTCTTTACTAATTGAATATATTTCACAGAATTTCACACTGTTCGCGTTGGTTTTCTTCCTTTTAGAGTTGATCTCTCTAATGTATTGGATCTTCATGCCTTTGACGGTCTCTCTGGAATAAGGTATGTTTCCTGTATTTTGGTCACTTATATTGTAATATACCTTTTATTCCACAGTTGAGGAGTCACAGGAATGATTTACGTAGTGGCACACTTGATATAAGCTTCCTGTCATTCCTTTGGTGTACAAGACCATTCCTAATGATTATGTTCTTGAATGTTTTGTTAGTTGGATGTTTGGAAATCACAATGCTTTTTCCTATAGAAATTATGGTGTAAATGGTAGTTAACTTTAAAAACTAATTGTTGAATATGACTATATCAAATATATGTAATACTTTCTTTCTATGAGAAAATGCATGAAATACATAGAAAATTTTAGCTTGGGATGTTCCCACACACACCTTCTTTCCCCTTAGTGACGGATCAGTTTCCTGCCCCTTTCCCCGGAGGGACACTTTTTGATAAGAGAGAGGATTTATCTTTCTTTCCTGGACATCAGTACCTTTTTAAAATCATCTTAACCATTTTGAAGTGTACAGTTCAGTAGTGTTAAGTATATTCACATTGTTGTACAATGGATCTAGAGAACTTTTTCATTTTGCAGAATTGAAACTCTATATCTATGAAATAATACCTCCCTAATTTTCCCTCCTGCAGGCCCTGGCAATCACTATTCTGTTATCTGTTTCTATGAATTTGACTACTTTGGATACCTTATATAAATGGAATCATATGGTATTTGTCTTATTGTGACTGGCTTATTTCACTTAGTCCTCAGGGTTCATCTGTGTTGTAGCGTGTGACAGGATTTCCTTCCTTTTTAAGGCTAATATTCCATTGTATGTGTATACCGTATCTTCTTTATCCATTCATCCATTGATGGACATTTAGGTTGCTTCCACCTCTTGACTATTGTGAATAATGCTGCTATGAACATAAGGGTGCAAATGTCTCTTTGAGATCTTGCTTTCAATTTTTCTGGATGTATACCCAGAAGTGAGATTACTGGGTCATATGGTAATTCTGTTTTTAATTTTTTGAGGAACCATTATACTGTTTTTGATAGTAGCTGCACCATTTTACATTCCCACCAACAGTGCACAAGGGTTCCAATTTCTCCATGCCCTCGTCAACACTTGTTATTTTCTGTTGGTTTTGATAGTAGTTGTCCTAATGGGTGTGAGGTGAATAGCTCATTGTGGCTTTGATTTGCATTTCTCTAATGATTAGAGATATTGAGCATATTTTCATATGCTTGTTGGCCATTTGTATATCATCTTTGGAGAAATGTCTATTCAAGTACTTTGCCCATTTTTTAATCGGATTGTTTTTTGGTGTTGTGACTGAGTTGTAGGAGTTCTTTATATATTCTAAGTATTAACCCCTCATCAGATACATGATTTGCATATATTTTCTCCCATTTCCTCTGAAGTAGATGAGTCATAAAACCCTCAAGTGAGATGTACCCTCCCTATATCCAGAGGAAAGGAGCATCTGTTTCTCTGAAGACGAAGGGACACACACAGGAATCTGAAGGAACAGGCTTTGCTGAGTTACCCCCAGTTTACTACACTTGGCTCTTACTCTGTCCTATCATATCTTTCCAGGACTTTCCACTCTTATCAAACCTAGCATAAAAACACTCAGGTTTAACCATTTCTTCAGATTTTCATTTTCTTAGGAACACTCCTGTGTCACACAAAACATATTAAATAAATTTGTATGCTTTTCTCTTGTTAATCTGTCTTTGTCAGTCTAATTTTCAGACCCAGCCAGGGACCTAAGAAGGTAAAGGGAAACATTTTCCTTCCTTGCGGAAGTTTTAGGCAGTTGTTGTCCAGCAACATTAAATATTGAGCAAAGGGAAAAGCATAAGGTTTTTCAAACATTTTCTAAGCCATCTCATTCCACACTTGCTGAAGAACTGTTATAATGCATTAGTGACACTCAAGGAAGTAGCTTATTAATGTGATGCCCTGCTATGGATAAGGCCTTTGCATAACTTTTCATTGTGTTTAGTTGCCAAACAGGAGAATCCTTTCCTCAGCAACCAGCTGGGAAGGATTTAATTTGACACCTTCCCTACTAAGACCCCCCAATGAGACTCATTCCCTCCAACAGTTCCTACAAGCCTTTTCTCTTTCCTAAACTTGCTGTTACTAATTTACCCCTCACTGTTCTTCAAGGCTAAACATCTGCGAGGTTTTAAGTCCTTTTCCTCCTCCCAGCCTACCCCCATCAGTGTCTAAATGTATGCTGCAGTTGTTATGGTTACAATTTGTTATGCTGTATTAATCTTCTTGCTATTTTCATATCAGAACAATGCATTTTTAAGATTCTGACTTTTTGTTTTCTCTCAACCACTGGTAACAAACTTTATAGAAGGCTTATATTTATGGATACTATTTATTTTTTAATAAATAGATATGTTCAAGGGAAAACGTTGATAAAGGAAAATTTACCCTTCTACGTTTCTTGAAGCGTTTTCATATTAGGAAGCATGGAGAGAGTTGATAAAATTTTGAGCTACAGTAAAATGCTTATGTATATTTTTCTAGGCCTTTATTAGATCTACTGGAATTTAAAAGAAATCCACTGATGTATTTAACCACACAAAATAGTGTTGCCAAAGATTAGTCTCTATATCCTGTATATAGGTATGTGTGTAAATTTTTCAAAGAATTTTTAAACAGTTAAGACTATTTAAATTAAATTTAAATAAAATAAATTTAAATAAAGTTTAAAAGAAATAAGTGGATTTAAATAAAATTCTTAAAATTGTTAAGAATTTTAAACAGGTATAACAATTTTTAAGAAGTTTTAAACAATCTGCCAGCTTTTCTCTATTAGAGTATGTGAACAGCATGTAAAATTGGAACTTTGTAATCGATTCAACTGTGTAAAGTCTACCGTATATAGCTTTGTATATCTAAGTAATGTATAAGGTTAAATCAGAAGTATATTGATCTCTGAATTTATAATCAGTTGTTCTTAGTTTGCAGAAAAAACTTCAACATTTGCCGACAACACAACCTCACCTTGATCAGGTAGAAAACATCTTAAAAAATGTTTTTTAAGTATCTCTTTAACTAAATTGATTCTGTTTAAGACTGTTTTATTAGAACTCTTTCTAAAAAAGTATTTTTGAATTGTGCTGATAATTTTCAGAATTTGAATGCTTTTGAGATCATCTAATCCAGCTTCTTATTTAATGCATAATAGGAATTCATCAAACCCAAGTTGTTTACAATCTTAGGAAATGATGCTTTCTAGCTTCTCCATTCTATAGGTCACTTAGCATATTTTGATCAGCTCTTCTGATGGGAATTACTGCTTAAAAGCAGCCTGAGGTTACTATATGCAGCCTATTTTCAACTATATTGAACTAACTTATTAAGGAAAAGTCTGGTATAAGTGTCCATGGCTTAAATAAAAATTGACTTTGAGTTTCACCTTCAGATAGCACTATATATTTGAATTCCCTGAGGTATTTTTCATGCTCTAAAATTCTAATTCCTGAGGTAAATATCGAAAATGCTAGGAACAAACAAAATATATTTTCAATTGTACCTGTCTTTCCTTTAGGCAAGTCATAGATGGTAGAGCTTTAGGGTAACTTCTTTATTCCATTTAAACACAGTGAGAGGAAGGGGGCATGTGAGTGAGCAGTGTACCCAGTCTTCCTTCCTCTGTCTTGAAGCCGTCACTCACTTTTTGAATCATAATTAATTGTCATAGGTCCCAGATAACAATAGCTACTTGTTCATTTGTCTTCATTTTGGCTCATATTTATGAGAAGCTATACTATCATGTTTGAGGCACTTCTCTCGGAGAAACTTATCTTAATAGAATATCATCTTATCTTTAAAATGTGTGAATGAGAGAAATACAAGTCCCTGGTGGTAGAATTTTTGGAAAAACCAACAATGGTCAACATTAGTCATAAGAATGAACTTGAAGTACATTCTTACTGACCTTCTGGGTGAAGGACATCATACTAGGAGTCATAAGGATTAAAAGAAGAAGAATATGTAGTACTCACTTTGAAGAACCTTTATAATGGCCAGTATCTACACTCATAGTATCTTAAATGTACCCCATCATCACATTTCTAATGCTTTGTAGTTTGGATTGAAGTGTTTTTCCCTTGCAGTGGTCTATAAATTCCTTAAATATAAATTCCTCGTTGCTTAGCACAGGGCTTGGTATATGGTGAGTGCTCAGTGAATATTTGTTAAAAGAATGAAAAGCTGTGATTCTCAGATGGGGTATACATCAGAATCATTTGTGGAGCTTTTTAAAGAAAATTGGATACTCAGTAGTCCCTGCCTCTCTTATCTCCAGAAGTAGGACTTGAGTATGTACATATTAATGTGTATGTATATTTTTAACATTTTATTATGGAAAATTTCAAAGATACACAAAAATAGAGAAAATAGTAAAATGAACCCCTTGTATGCATGACCCAGTTGCAATGGCCGTCAACATTTTGCTGATTTTATTTCATTTAGAGAAGTCAACATTTCTTTTCTTGGAGTATTTTTTAAGCTTTTTTTTTTTTACATAGAAAATTTCAAACATACATAAAAGTAGAATAGTATAATGAACCTGCTGCGTGTACCCATCACCCTCGCTGGAATGTATTAAAGCAAATCCCAGACATTATGTCATTTCACTAGTAAGTAGGGTGTGTCTCTCTCTCGTTTTTTTAAAGCTCTACAGGATATTCTGATGCACTTTCCTACTTCGGCTATATAAACATAGGGCAGAATATAATATTATTGCAGACAAAGGGCCATGGGATTCAGAGGCGTGAATGGTCTCATTTGTTTTAGTGGGTCCGAGGCTTTGTAAAAGGTAGTATTTCTTTTTTTTACATACAGTAAAGCATACAGGTTTTTAGTGTACAAGTCAATGTGTCTTTACATATATTTGTACCCATGTATCTGTCCAAATGCACACACGAACACATATTCCTGCAGTTCCCACTCAGATAGGATACAGAAGATTTGGAAGTCAGACCTTCCTTCTTCCAAAGAGGTAACTGCTATTCTGACTTACATACCAAAAAGTAACCTTGAACTGGTAGATTTTTTTTGACTGGAAGAAGTAAGGGAAGGAGCAATCCAGATTTTAAAAGTGGGAAAGTAAGAATGCTCTAGAAGAGCAGCACCCTAGCACAGAATCCTTGATTGGAATCTTGAGCTAAGGTTTTGGAGTTTGATTTGCTAGGCAAAGAGAACTCGTGCTATGTGTTGGGCAGTGCCAGCTAAGTGGATTGGAGTGTGGCGTCAGGAGACCAAGCAGGAAGGTACTGTAGGCGTCCAGACACCTGTGATGAGGGCCTGGCCTGTGTTGGTTACAGTGAGAATGAAATGGGACAACTTGAGGGCCGTTTGACAGGTAGACTCACTGGCTGATGATGGAGCAGTAAGAAGAGAGAGGTGATGAGAAACAAGCTTAGATTTACTAGAGGAACCTAGAAAAAGAGAAATCTGGAAGGCAAACTGATTTGGATGAAAATACCAAATATTCAGCTTTGTACCTGGTGGCAGGATATCACAGTAGAGATTACACAGGCAAAGAGGAGCAGAGGACTGGAGTGTGGAGACAGATTTGAGGGGTAAGCGTGCTAGTGGGCTTAGTTTTCCAGATGAAGAAAACATATAGAAGTCATTGCATATTAGATATTGTTTGCAAAAGAGTAGAAAACTGAGAGAAAAACTGGGAGCTTAAAGAAAAACAGACCAAACAAACTTCCAAAATTTAGGAGTTAGTCCTAAATTTTATTTTAGAGGCAGTACCTTATTTTGCTTTTGTTTTCTGAATTATTGCCTCAGTTTTCTGCTCTTCAGTGTTTCTGCCTTCAGTTTTTCCTCTGTGTTTGCAGACGTGGGAAAAGGGGAGTTAATTTTAGATTCAAAGCAAAAATAAACTGGAAGAATAAGTCAGTCTGAAATGGGTAATACCTAGAACATATTATGTATGTTATTAAAGTTTTATCCCTGAGTAGTGTTTAATGCAGTTCTCTATTTTTCATGGATTTCTTGTTCACTCCCTATAAGGAGGACCTGGGGTTGGAAAGTGGGAAGGTAGATGAGAAAACTTAAGTGGCAATCTATGCATATTTTACTAATAGTAGAGCCAGTTATGAGTTATGACTCTCATTTTCTGCACTGGGAATTTATGAATTTCATCTTCTTTAGGATTTGTCTAATATGAGAAAAGTTTATCAGTACAGAAAAACACCTAGTTCTGAAATGTATTATCTCCCTCCTTGACCTCCATGATGCATTGTCTTAATTTTTAAAACCTTTTTTAGCTCACACTGAAGTTAATTGTACCTCTTAGAAATATTGTCATATCTCTAACCTGCCAAAAGCAAAAATGATTCCCAATATAAAAATCTTTAATCTTTAAGTAAAGCAGTAGAATAAAGCAATATTGAGTCCTATATCGAGACATTCCCAATATTAAAAGGCAAGTTATCTAACTTGAATAAAATACATTTTAAGCATTTTTGAAGGTTGAATTACTACTGTCTTTTGAAACTGACAAATTGTGTTTCATTTGGCAACCTTTTGCTATGTATTTTGATATGCTGTATGATTTGCTATACATTTTGGTATGGACTTTTAGGTATTATTTATAGTGATTGCTTTAAGGAGGAAGGAAGACTGTCATTTTGTTTAAATGCCTACTATTGTTACCTTAAACTAATGAAAACAAAAAGTTTAAAAGCAGAGTGTGTTTATTAAGATTTAAAAATAAGCACTTTAAAAAAATTGTGGTAAAAAAACATAACATGAGATCTACCCTTTTAACAACTTTTTAAGTGTATAATACAGTTCTGTTAACTATATACACATTCTTATACAGCAGCTCTCTAGGACTTTTTCATCTAAGTTTGACTACTTAGGTACCTCATATAAGTGGAATCATATAATATTTGTCCTTTTCTGACTAGGTTATTTCACTTAGCATTATGTCCTCAAGGTTCACCCATGTTGTAGCATATGACAGGATTGCCTTTTTTAAAGGATGAATAATATTCCATTATTATACCACATTTTTATACTACATTATTATACTACATTTTATTTATCCATTTATCTGTTAGTGATGTATTGTTTCCACTTCTTGGCTATTGTGACAACATAAGTACTTTTAAAATTCTGACATTTTGAAGTCCAATTTCAATTGGCTTGTACTTCTCATATCTGAGCAAGAAAGTGCTTCTGCTTTTCCTGTTACTAGCAACAGTGGAGACTAAATGTCAGTATATTTTGTGCCTAAATTGGTCTTTAATACTTAGCTGTTCTCTAACTATGGCTAAAACCAGTTATGGTCTTTTCATATTTAGCCTATATTATTTTCTACTGGTGAGTAAAATTGCTGTTTAGATGTGTGCTTCTAGGAAGTTATGCAAAGCTGTGCCTTAGTATGTACTTTCTGCCTGTTTTAAGCCATTTTAAGCTTGACTTGGGCATCTTATTCTCATTATCCAAGGGGGTTTGTGCTTTTATCGTGGTATGCTTAGCCCTTTGTATTTTTATCACGAAGTTTGAAATGTTGGGTGACAGTAGCAAATCAAGGTTTGGATTTTATCATGTGACCTGCTAGAGGAAATCTTAAGCTTCTGGTTCCTTAGAGTGGGCAGTGAGAGATTTATCAAGATCAGGAGAAATAAATTTCAAAGTTAACATTATATAAATGATGATGTCAGCTCCTAAACCAAAGATGACACATTATCATTCTCATCTCTAGGAACTCTTCTCTCCTTGCCACATGCTTGGTCAGAGATAAACAAAACCTTTCCTTTGTATTTATTTTTCCCAGAGAATAGTTTTGCTTTTGAGTTTTACTGCTGGCACTGTGTAGTTTATTTTTTCTGAGGCTCATTTTCCCCAATTTATAAACTGAAAATAATTCTCTTTATTCCACAGGATTGTTGTCATGAGTAAATGAAAAGATGAAGTGACCCAGGCAGAGGTACCTGGCTCAGTTCATAGTTGATTCACTATGTATATTACCCTCCCCCTTAGTGCCGAGAATCCTGGAGAGAATGAATTAAACAATGAGGTCCCTTTCATGAGAGTTTCTGTGTGTAAATACTAAAGGATTGATCAACTCTGCAGAATATAGAAAATGAAGTTGCTGATACCAAAAATCAGCAAGTATAGTGAAAAGGATATACTTAATAACTGTTGTTAGGCAGCATAAATTTCCATGAATGTGCTCCTTGCTTTTTGTCTTAAAACTTATGATTTTCGAAAATATGTTGACGTTACTATAAAAAAGTCATTATTGATTATCTCTCTTGATATACAGAATATTGTTACAGTCACATTTGAAGTACCAGGAAGTGCAAAGGAAGAAAGTCTGAATGTATTCATTCAGGTGAATGCAGTTTTTAACTGATTAATGATTTATCAGCTGTTTTGTTACATAGTTGTTGCTATTAGCAATGGTTGGTCTTATTAAAATATGTCACTCGATGCAGAATCTTCTATGGGAAAAGAATGTGAGAAACAAGGAGGATGACTGCATGGAGGTCCTACGACTGAAGGTGCGGTGTACAGTTTACAGTTTTATACTTGGGGACAAAGTCCCTTTCTTGGCTGTTATATAAAAACCATATTTGGTTTTAAACAGAAGCACTGGTTTTAGTACAAATAACCTTTGTCTATTTTCATTTTTCCTTCTTTCCATTGCTCAAAAGCAGCTTTGGAAATAACTGCAGTGAGCATGATTTGTTTGCACAGCTTCCTGTAGTGTTGCAGCTACAACAACCTGTGTGCTTTGAAATGTTACCTCCCCCTCCCGCCCGGTGTTCGGGGCAGTTATCTAGCTAATGAGCCTGACTCGTTGAAACTCTCCTCCCCTTGGCACACAGCGTGGTCATTTAGAGAAACTGAGCGTTTTCTTGTGTTTATTTTTCTAAGAGAGCTTCATTAACAGAGTAATAATATTAGAACTCTTTTTGCAGCTGAACCTTATGCTTCTTGATGCATTTAGCAGACACTAAACATTTGTCATGCTATAAACACAGTTAAAAAAGACTAGATGAATTCTTGTTCTGTGATTGGAAACCCATTCATATTACTTGACTTTTGAGTATTTATGTCACCCATGATGTTTTGTGTGCTTAACCAATAAGCAGTCATGTGAATGTCTACTCTGGTGTTTCCAGAAGTGTGCATGAAGTTTTTTATTATTACTGTTTATTACTATCACTGTTAGTAACTAGATTCTCCAGTTAGTGACTGACTTCCTGGGGTCACTAGAATGACAAAGGTTGAGACTGTTGAGAAACTAAACTAGGTTTAGATTTCTTCACTGCCTGTGCTGGCTGTGCCTGGGATTGGTGCTGCAGAGCAACACAGGTGAATCCCAGTCTACTCCCAAATCGTTCCCACCCGGAGGAACTAAGCCAGATCCTGATTCTTCTTTATGACTGTAGCACCATCTCCATTCCATGATCCTCACTGGCAAAGCATATTTCATTCTGTAGCTGCTTTTATCCGCTAGTACTGAATGGTGGGGGGTGGTTGCCTAGAAAAGCTGCCATTTGGGCGTTTATACTAATGCTGCCACCAAGACCTCTGCACAGAGTTCCGTGGCTTATCCTGCACCCTCCCAGTTTGGATTTTGTCCTTAGGTCTGTGCAAGTTTTTCTCTCCTTGGTTCTTCCTTTGGCCTTCCTCTCATCACAGCACCAGGGGATCTGGGGCAACACAGCCTTTATCTTCATAGACTTTCATCTCTTTCCTGCTACAAAATATTTGTCTTAAAATAATCAACATGTTTAAAATGTTAATTCTAGTAACAGCTAATGCTTCAATGTCTTTATACAAGTAACACAAAATTGATGCTTAGGTAATTCTTTCCAAGGAATTTATTATTACATATTAAAATTCAAATTAAAAAATCAGAAAGCAGTAAACCATTATATTGTACACCTTAAACTAATACAGTATCATATTTCAGTTATATCTCAATAAAACTAGGGGGAAAAACAAAACAAAACTGGGCACAGGAAAAGAAAAACTGGAAGAGTACACCCAAAATACACAAAAGTTGTGTGTGGGGGTATTAGTGTTTTGTCTCTTACTATTTTTCAGTGTATCTATTAATTTTATAACAAATATGTTTGACAAACATTTCCGAGAAATTATTTTATCCCCATAGGAACCAGTTTATCAGATAATTTTTTCCTTATTTCTGCAAATCAATATAGAATGAACTTTTATTCAGATAAATATAATAGTTTTTCTTTTCCTTTATTTCATCATTATCTACTCCATTTATTGCAACCCATTCAAAAGTAAATTTTTTATCACCAAAATCCTTTAACTTCTCAAATTTTCCCATTAAAACTGTGAAACAAGTATAAAAATCCTTAAGAGTAGAATAATTAGTAGAATCTGAAACGAGATGTTTTATCCTTTTGTCGTTTCAGTTTTTTGTTGTGATAAATAACACTGAAAGACCATCCTAATACATGTGTTAATTTTATCATTACAAAAAGGGATTGTTTGAAAAAAATCAATGTGCACGGAAACCTTTTTTAAAAATTGGAGGCTTTAAGAAACTATTTCTTTAATGCACAAATAACTGGAAATAAGTCATTTTAACAGCATCTCCTTTATGAGTTTGTTTTTTAGGAATAGGAGTAATTAAGCCATTAACATTGGTGCTCAATTTCTGCTTTAAATTCTACCTGAGGCTGATCGATCATTCTCCTCTGAGCAGGGGCTGGTGTCAATCAAAGATAAACCACAACAAGTGATTGTCCAGGGTGTCCATGAGCTCTATGATCTGGAGGAGACTCCAGTGAGCTGGAAAGATGACACCGAGAGAACAAATCGATTGGTTCTTATTGGTAAGTGACAGTTAAATTTCTAAAGCACAGTAAAAAATATATTTGAAAGGAATAGAATGTGCTACTTAAGCAGTATTAACTAATCAGAACCTCTTCTTAAACCTAAATTAACTTGTGGTTAATATATTTGTCTTAATCATGTGGTAACATGCATAAGCACTCATTAGGCCTTTTACGCTTCTTCAAACAGTTTTAGAAAAGTGATTAATCCAATTGCCAGTTTGGTTCTGAGGGACTTAACTAGAGAGTTAAGGAAGGAATCACTCAATTACTGTTGTTTTTGTAAATTTCTGAAGAGCATCAAGCCTTTAATGACCTAGAATTGATAGGTAAACTGTGTCATTTTAATAAGCATAGTATAATCACACCATCTTTTGTTCTGTTTGCAGGCAGGAATTTAGATAAGGATATCCTTAAACAACTATTTATAGCAACTGTGACAGAAACAGAAAAGCAGTGGACAACACATTACAAAGAAGATCAAGTTTGTCCGTAACACTAGAAGCATTTCTTATCAAAAGGATTGGATGATAAAATAGGGAATAAGTTTCCTACTGGGTGTATTTCAGGCATCTTTGTTGGCATTACTTCTGTTATAAATTGCAATGTACTTTAAAATAGTATTTATTTTATATAATACAGAAGATATAGTAAATCAGTATTGTAAAAATTTGATATTCATTCAATAAACTATAATATCCTCTGAAGTGTTTTTTTTTTGTAGACAGATGTTTTACAAAAATATCTTTTAGAATTAGCTTTAGAGTTTTGCATATGCTGAATCTCTCACCCATGGAAGTTATTTAATAATAATGATAAAACTTACTTCAACATTGTCATTTTCCCTTAGAACTTCAGCTCATTGCATACATATAATAATTTTATTATTATCAAGAATTAAAAAAAAATAATGTCACCATTTTTATCAAATGAAATAAGAGGTTTGCTGTGGCTAGAAGCTTATAAGTGGAAGAAATCTGAGTCAAAGAAATTAAATGAAACCATCTCTTATTCTTAGTGAATTCTAAGCCTTACTGGTAGTCAGTGTAATAAAACTTCAGCCATTCACTTTATGTTTAGAAGATTCCACTTTTAGATCTTTTAAGTTCGTTTTGTTTTTTTTGAACTACTTCAATTTTCAATGTAAGCTAAAAAGTAACAAAGTACAAAACTTCAGATATAACTACAGATAACTTTTGATAATTTAACAATCTTTGTATAAATGGTTGGTCTGTAAGTACACAATGGCTTACTTTTCTCCTATTCCTACTAAAGGCCAGATCAGCATAACTATATTCAAATTGTAAGAGAAAAGCATTAGATGGGATTTAAAGAAGAGCTTTCCTAAACTAATGGTTGTTAAATATCAGAAGGCTATCAAAATGGCTTTTGGAATTTTTTTAAAGAATTTTAAATAAAAGAGTTACATCCGTGTATCTTGAGTGGTTCTAGTGGTTGGAGGCAGGTTAATTATGGAAATTAGCTATCTCCTTTCCTGTACATTCTGTATATTTTTTATGTAACTTCTCTCTTATGGATGAAAATATTCATCCATTTGCCTTCTGAATCCATTTTCTTAATTCACGATTGAGAGAATACACTTATTTTGTGGCAGCAAATTGCCCAATAGCAAGTCAGCTGATTTTTGAGTCAGGTTTGGGCTTTAGTTCCAGCTCTGCTGCTGCTTGGCTGTGTAATCTTGGGCAGAGTATTTTCTGTGAGACTAGTTTCCTTATGTATAAAGTGAACAGTGATAATATCAACCATTCAAGGTTGTTATGAGGATGCAATAGTTTTGTAATGCCCCCGACTCAGCTCCTGGCACACAGCGGAGCCTAGATAAATGTGTTCTTCTTCCCAACAATTTAAATTTGTTTTATAATTAATGTGGTCGTGATAATGCTTAATAATGTTCTTTGGCAAATAATAAGTGTCTAGATTCATCTGTTCTAGAGCATGAGAAAGAGCGTATAATTAATTGTCCTGTCGTGGGAGAAATGTTTGAAGTCATATTAATCTATATTCTTAAAAATCCCTATTTATAAAACTCATCCATGTTTGTTTTTTCCTTTAAAATGTATTAATCTTTAAATGTTTTTCATTACATAAGTGTTGCAGGAGTACATTTGTGTTGTATAAGTGCAGACATTACAGATGAAGTCGGTCTCCCCTGACCTTTCTCCTTCAGTCACTGTCACTTCTGAGGCGTAAGCAGTGTTGTCAGTTTAATGTCTCTGCTTTTAGATGGTTCTTTTCACTTACATACACATTATGGCTTACGTGTTTCCCAAAGTGAATTATTTTCCAATGATTAGAAACATAATTTAAGCTATTTCTTCATGAAGCTTACAAACTTGCCACAAATATCCTCAAGGAAAGATTTTGTTTTTATAAAGGATATGTTTTAAATAATACATCATTCTTTATAGATTGTAATGCAGTTTGCTTTTTTTTCAACTCAACTATTAGTCTTAGATCTTTCCATGACAGTGCATGTAAATATGTCTTTTTTTTTTTTTTTTTTTGTGAGGAAGATCAGCCCTGAGCCAACATCTGCCAATCCTCCTCTTTTTTTGCTGAGGAAGATTGGCCCCGGGCTAACATATGTGCCCATCTTCCTCCACTTTATATGGGACGCTGCCACAGCATGGCTTAACAAGTGGTGCGTCGCTGCGCGCCCGGGATCCGAACCGGTGAACCCCGGGCCGCCACAGCGGAGCGCGCGCACTTAATCGCTTGCACCACCAGGCTGGCCCCAAATATGCCTTAAACTACTGCATAGAAATTCATAGTATAGCATAGAATACAGTAATTTTAAAAAAGCATTTATTGAGAGCTGCCAGTTTGCCCAGGCATTAGTGCTGGGGCTGAAACTGCACACGGCAGATAAAGGCCAGGTTCTCATACTGCTGATGTTCTAGTGGAGGGACTTCAATAAATGAGAAAATATGAGGTAGCCCTAGAAGGCTGATAAAGGTGGACTTGAGATTGAGTGGTCATAGAAACCTCTCTGAGGAGAGGTGGCTTGTGAGTTGAGAATGGAGTTAAAAGGAGTCATTCATGCAAGGTAGGGGAGAAGGTTCCACACAGAGGGAGCAAGTAGTGGTGAGGGCCTGTAGGTGGGAACCAGCATAGGCTGTTGGAAGACCAGGAAGAAGGTAAGGGTGGCAGAAGGTTAGAAAGCCAGGGTATCAGGTGGAATTGGAGTTGTTACCATGCCAGGCTTGTTGCTCCTTATAAGACCAAGCAAAACATCTGGATACTCTGAATGCCCTGGGAAGTGGCTGAGGGTTTTAAGCTGAAGAAGTGAGCTGGCTGTGATTGCTTTGGCAGATGAACCAGTTGTTTCTTGTTTTTGAAATTGTAAACAGTGCTGCAGTGAACATCACTGGATGTACCTCTTTGTTCTTATGTCAGAATGTTTCTCTAGAATAGATAGGTAAGGGTAGAATCACTCCCTTCCTGGATATGCACATTTAAAATTTTTAATCGATAACCATAAATTGCCCTTCCAAATGGCTGTACCTTTTTGCCTTAATAGATCAGTGTATGAAAGTATGCATTTTTCCAAACCTGGTTAACACATTTTAACCTTTGCCAGTCTAGGTGGAATGATATCTCACTGTTTTAATTTAGATTTTACACCGTATTTATATGTTGTTTACATATTGTTTTAAAGTCACATTGTCCTGTTCTTCATTCTTATTTTTCCCAAAATGAAATATTTTTCAGTTATTGGAGCCATTATCAGTTTAACCTGCACTTCAGAGGACTTTGGAACATGGCATAGATATCCTCAAGAGAAGATTTTATTTTTATTATGCAAATCACTAACTAAATAAATAACATGGGCCGTTTGTTATTCGGCTAACTAGAAAATTTGCAGTTTATTGATGATGATAAGTTTAGGCAATAGTTCATCTAAAACTTTATAGTTTACTGAGTACTATAGGATAAATTACTAAATCTGAGCCTTTGCCTCCTTATTCATAAAATGGAGATAAAATACAAATCTCTCTGGATTGTTCCAGGGATTAAATTGAAAGCACCCTGAATACAGAGTCTCGGTAAATGTGAATTCTCCTTTTCCAGCAAAACTTGATAAAAAATTCAAGCTCTGCCCACCTTCTTAAAACAAATAGTTCTTTCCTAGACATTTTCCAGCTTTTAGTGAAAGGGACAAGAACATTGGTGCTGAGTTTAAGATGGCTGTAGGAAGGGTCAGCACGGGGTGTCAGGAAAGACAGGTGATTGAAAGGGTCTGTAATTCCTAGATCATGATGTTTGAAGGGAATTATCAACAAAATAAAGCTAAAAAGGCTTTTAAACATTTATGGACTTGGTTGCTTGTTACAAATTGAATAATTGTCTCCTTTGGATTACATGCTAGCATAGGTGGGAAAACTATATTTTTAGATTGCTTTGAAATGACTTTCCCAGTTCTAGAAATGCCATACATTGTGGAGGTGATGTTGAAAGAAGTGAATTCTGTTGTCGAATGTCTAGCAACTTGCCTTACTTTGAGGAAAAAGAAAGATGCATTAGATTTTTTTTTTTCAGAATTAGTGTAATATTAGAATCAACTTTTCTTAATATTAGAATCAACTTTGTTGATGACCAAATTGCCTTTAATTTTCAGAGTGAAATGGAGAGAAACCAGACATCAGCATCCTTTCTGTGGATTAATTTAGAAAGGTTTGTTTTTCAAACTAGGATGCATTTTGTGAGCTCCTGATAGGTCAGAAAAAAACCTATTCAGAGTTAGGAAGAAGTAATCACCAGACGTTATGGAATGCCCACTCTGCTCTAGGCCCCGTGCCACATGCTGCGGGAGCTCCACGGTAAGGCTTTTGATTCTTAAGGCAACACTAAAGAATTGATAGGACAGACAGTAAGAGTTTTCCTTTGTTTTTTTCATAATGGGGTCTTTCCAAAGCATTCAACGTAGTTTTCATTGATATAGCTTTTTGTTTTTACATTGATATATTTTGTATAACAACTTTATTTAGATATAATTCGCATACTATAAAATCTACCCTTTTTTTTTAGGAAGATTGGCCTTGCGCTAACATCTGTTGCCAGTCTTCCTCTTTTATTGTTCTTTTTTGTCCCCAAAGCCCCAGTGCATAGTTGTGTATCATAGTTGTAGAGTTGTAGTTCTTCTATATGGGACGCTGCCTCAGCATGGCTTGATGAGCAGTCAGTAGGTCCATGCCCAGGATCCGAACCGGCGAACCCCGGGCTGACGAAGCGGAATGTACAAACTTAACTCCTATGCCACTGGGCGAGGCCCCTAAAATTTACCCTTTGAAAGTGTACAATTCATGGCTTTAGTATATCTACAGGTAGTGGCAACCACGACCACTATCTAATTCCAGAACATTTTCATCACTCCCCAAAGAAACTGTATCCATTAGCAGTTACTCCCCATTTCCTCCAGCCCCTAGCCCCAGGCAGCCAATAATCTACTTTCTCTATAGATTTGCCTATTTGAACTCCTTTCACTTACCATGTTTTCAAGGTTCATCCATGTTGTGCGTGTATCAGCACTTTGTTTCTTTTCATTGCTGAATAAAATTCTACTTATATACCACATTTTGTTTTCCACTCATCAGCTAATGGATGTCTGAGTTTCTACTTTTTGGCTCTTAGGCTCTTTTCCCCTATGTCTAAGTTTTTTATAGTAGAAGTAATTTTCAGTTAGTAATTTTCAATTAGTAATTTTCAGAAGTTTTAGATTTACAGAAAAATTGAACAGATAGTACAAGCAAGTTCCCATATCCGTCCCCCTATACACACAGTTAACATCTTACAATAGTATGGCACATTTGTTACAATTAGTGAACCAATATTGATACATTATTATTAACTAAAATCCATAGTTTATTCAGATATCCTTCGTGTTTTTACCTCATGTCCTTTTTCTGTTCTAGGATCCCATCCAGGACACCACATCACAGGGAGCAGTCTGTCTCCTTAGACTCCTCTTGGCTGTGACAGTTTCTTAGACTTGCTTTGTTTTGGAGACCTTGATAGTTTTGAGGAGTACTGATCAGCTACATAATACATAAGATGCTCCTCTACTGAGTTTGTCTGATGTTCTCCTGATTTAGACGGGTTTGGGGGAGCAAGATCACAGAGTACCATTTTCATCACATCATATCGGGGGTATGTACTGTCAACATGATTTATGACTGTTGACATTGATCACCTGGCTGAGTGGGATTTCTCCACTGTAACATTGTTTCCTCTGCCCCCCACCCCCCATTCTGTACTCTTTGGAAGGAAGTCACTATGCACTGTCCACAGTAAAGGAGTGGGAGTTATGCTCTACCTCCTCAAGGGCGGAGTTTCTACAGAATTTATCTGGAATTCTTCTGCAAGGAAGATTTGCCTCTTTCCCCCATTTATTAATTTATTTGATCATTTATTTTTTATCCATATGGACACCTGGATATTTATTTTATACTTTGGGTGATAATCCAATACTGCTTTCTTTTCTTGCTCAAATTGCCCCAGCTTTGGCCATTGGGAGTGCTTTCGGTTGTCTCCCATGCCCCCTTTGACATACCTCCATCAATGGGGGTTGTTTTGTTTTTTGTTTTTTTAGCATGCCCTTACATTTCTTCTTTCATTTTTAAATAACCCAAATCCCCATAGAATTTAACTCTAGGAAAACTAACAATACTCCCTTTCCCGGTAATCAGATTCCTCTGCTGTTGGAAGAACTGTGCCTTACCTGCAGGGGGTGGAGGGGGACGCACCTGGGAATCTAAGTTTGAATAAGACACCTGTCCTAGCCCTCCTGAAGCTTAGTTTAGTAGAGCACACAAGTAGTAATTGGTGAATTTGGGATTCAAACACAAATCTGTTAGGCTCAAAACTTTCTGTTATTTGTCCTATTTTAAGCTACATATAACTGAGAAGCCTTAGAGGGTAACAACCTCAGGAGTAGAGGATAAGATTTTAAGAAGATTTGCAAGAAAGCTGTTCTCAAAATTTTACCCTGAAGGGACCAGCTCCTTTGTGTTATATTTTACCCTTTTAGTTGGCTTCTGATTTCTCTCTGGAAATTCATTGTCATTTTACAAACACTAATGGAAGAATTACTGTGTGACACTCAATGGCATAATACAATTTTTTTTATGCTGCATTTTTCTTAGATGCCACATCAAATTCTTTTCACAAGGAGGTGGGTATTATGAATATGTACTGTTGCTCAATATTTCACCATAAGATCCCTGTTTATATAGCACACATTAAATTATATTCCACTGTACTGATGCTTTAGTCTCTGAGCTGATTTAAATGAAGCTGAATTTAAATCTAAAAATCTTGATACTTCCAAGGATGTCAAGTGAGTGAGTTAAACAGAGCTTCTCTGTCGTATCGCTCCGCTGCGGTGTGAGTAAGGAATGACCACCTAGTAAATTTAAAGACACTGAAACTGCAGCTCCTCCTTTGCCTCAGTTAAGTTTCACGTTTGGTATTTGTAGTAAACGTTCTTCATGTTGACTTTTTTTGAAGGAAGGGAGGAGAGAGACACTGACTCTCAGACTGGGTGTATCCCTTGGAGTTGTGGGGCCATTTGTGTGAAAACAGGGTTTTTCAAACTGGGTCTGTACTAGTTAGTATGTGGCAAAATCAATTGAGTTGGTCATGGCCATTAAAAAAAGAAGAAATAACAATGATCATTTGTTTTGAGAAACCCATTTTAGTTATAAAAGTCTGCATATGCAAGATCGTAGTATAAGATGTATTTCATACTGGGGTTAAATGTTCAAAGAAGTTCGAGAGTCTGAGGCAAGGGAACTTCTCTTTAGCCCTCCCACTTTCCCTCCACCCTGAACTTCCACAACATAATGCCAGGACATTTCAGCCTTTTATGAACACTTGAGTCAGGGAGAACACTTTGGGGAGCTGAGGTGTAGGGGGGGTAGGGACAACAAAACACCCCCTCACAACCCCTGAGCTCTGGAATAGCACATTAAAAATATTTCCCTCATCATACTGGATGAGGACAGAATCCACCAATGAAAATGGGTGATTAACCAGCTATGAAACTCCAAAACGTACTTTTGCACATTCTTTTACAATGAAACACCGTATACATCTCAGTGTGTGCCTCCCCCGCCTTCCTTTTCTATCCTCCAGGCCTGAATATCGACGTGGCCATAGATTGTTGGGTATCCTATTTTCCTACCTCTTTTTATTTGCGCGGTTTTAAAAGCGCGTTAACAGATCCTAATGCGACTCTGGGCCCGATTGGCTGGTTAAGCCGGAGGACTGGAGCATCTTCCTTGGTGGCGGGTGGGTGTAAGGAGGCGGCGGCTGAAGGCTCTTCTCGGGTCGGGTAACGCAGCGGACCCTCATCATTGGACTGCGTCGTGAGCAAGTGGGAGCGCTCTGAGGTAGGGAGAGAAGGGGCACAAAGGGGGGGAGTCCACCACACGGGGACTCGGAGAAGCTTTAATAAAAGGCAAAGTGCCTCTGCTGGACAGTGTTGTAAAGGAGGACAAACCAGAAGTCAAGCAGAACACCTAAAAGGGTGACCACGACTGTTCCTGCTTCTTGGAACACTCTTTACCCAGGCTTCCAGCCCAGCCCCCCGCGAGCCAGGTGAGCGACCGCCACCTCCCCTGCGTCTGCAGGACCTGCTCCTCCATGAACTTGCCAAGAGCTACGCGCCTTCGCTCCACACCGCCGCGCAGCCTCCGGGGCTCCGACGGGGAAGACGGAGAGATCGATATCCTGGGAGAGGAGGAGGAAGAAGACGAGGAGGCCGAGGGGAGCCAGCGATTCCTAGAGCAGCTGCACCAGCCGGGGCCGCAGGGGACACGGCGGGGCGCGGGCGCTCTTCCCCGGGAGCGCACTGAGAGCGGCGGCGGCCCTAGCGACTCCACCGAGTTTGGCAACACGTTCAGTGCATCGACCGGGTCTGCGGCGGCCTCTGGGGATGCCCCGCAGCCGGCGAAGCCCCCCTACTCATACATCGCGCTCATCACCATGGCCATCCTGCAGAGTCCGCACAAGCGCCTCACGCTCAGCGGCATCTGCGCCTTCATCAGCGGCCGCTTCCCATACTACCGCCGCAAGTTCCCGGCCTGGCAGAACAGCATCCGCCACAACCTCTCGCTCAACGACTGCTTCGTCAAGATCCCCCGCGAGCCGGGCCACCCGGGCAAAGGCAACTACTGGAGCCTGGACCCTGCCTCCCAGGACATGTTCGACAACGGCAGCTTCCTCCGGCGCAGGAAGCGCTTCAAGCGCCACCGCCCGCCCCCAGGAGCCCACCTGCATCACCCCTTCCCCCTGCTCGCTGCGCCTGCCGCCTTGCACGGCCCCTACCCGGGCCTGCTCCTCGGGTCCCCGGCCCCGCCGCAGCCTGTCCCGGGGGCCTACCCCGCCGCCGCCCCCGGGAGCCGCCCGTGCGCCCTGCTGCACCCTCATCCCCTTCGCTACCTGCTGCTCTCGGCCCCGGCCTACGCTGAGGCACCGAGAAAAGCGCAAGGCGCGGACCTGGCGACCCCCGGCGCCCTTCCGGCGCTGCAGCCCTCGCTGGGCTCCCAGTCTTGGGAAGAGGGCAAGGGGCCTGCGTCGCGGCCGGGAGGAGGATGCACCTCTTTCAGCATCGAGAGTATCATGCAAGGGGTCCGGGGAGGGGATACTGGGGCCGCGCAGAGCCTGCCCCCGACCCCGTGGGGCTACTGCCACCTGCTGCAGCGCCCGTCGTGCCTGTTGCATACCCAGGCTCCTGCCCCCTTGCTGCATGTGTCCGCTGCCGCCGCCGCGTCCGCTGCCCGGACGATCTTGCAGCAGCAGCGGCAGCAGGACTGTGCTAACGGCTGCTCTCCCAGCAAGGGCGCGCTGCTGGGCCGGCACCTGCCTGCCACCGCGGCGTTGCTAGGGTGTCAGCTCGGAGCAGAGGGCTCTAGGCTGACGTCGCTGGTCGCCCATTCTGGCAGAGAGGAGGAACCTCGCCGGCCTTTTGAGTAGTACCCACACCCCGCCCTGGCGCCGACTCCAAGGGGGCGCACCTAGAGCCAAGCTGGAGGGCGCAGCGACCCGGGCTCTGGCTCTCCTCGCCGCCTGCCCTCCCGTACACCACCTTGCACAGACGGAACCTGGCGTGTGCATCTGAATCCCGCAGCAGAGCAAGCGCTAATTTCGGTTCGTTGCAAAATACTTACAAAGGAAAAGTTGGATACTGTTCTCTTAAGATAACCTGAACGTAACTTCCGATGGTCAACACCTTTTCTTTTCCAACCTCCAATTGTGGCTTCCAGGGCTTTTCCGATTTGCACATTTCCAGAGGAACTATGAACGTGAGTGAGCATTTTGTTCTGGTATTAAAAGAAAACAAAGAAAATACAATATCCAGTGCACATGTTTCCTCTTCTTCAATCCCTAGGAACTACAAGTGTTATTCCCAAGTCAAGCGCAAAATGCTTAGCCCTCTGTATCTTCCTGAAATCGATGTGTGATATAAGCAGAATTTTAATTTCAGAGCATTTATTTCTGGTCTGTGTGTCTGATGTGCCATCCTTCGTGGAGAGGTGTTAAAATTAAACCTAACTATTCAGACTAAATAAAGTGTTAAATCACTACAGAACATTGTTTATTTTGTATTACTTCTCATTATTCACTTTCTAAATGAAACTTCTTTTAAAACTTAGTTGTTTCCTCCCAGTTAAACAATTTAGTTTGACAATTCATATTCATTATAGATACCAGAAACAGCCCATTCTCAAAACGGCTTTTAAAACTTCCAAAAATTTGAAGTAGAAAAAAACCTGTTTTTTAAAATATGGGATTTAGTATTTATGAAACCTATAGAATAAAAATAATTGGAGGAAATCTAAATATATTCTCCATTTATTGTCCATCTTTCTAGAGACATTGGTTTTTCTCCTGAATAAACTGGAGGATGAGCTGAGATCAATTTGGAATGTAGCGGCCAACATTTATTCGGGGAAAATAAAAGGCAGTTTTTAAGAAAGCATTAGAATTTTCAAATCCCGGGCCCAGGGAAACGGGAAATATCAAATGAAGCATTCGTGTCCTGGACATTTATAGTTTTAAAAATTGTCTCTCCCGGCAGGTGCCTTCTAAGGGCTCCCAATCTCTTTCTTTAGAACAGAAAGAACTTTTTGTTGTTGTTTAGAAAAGAATTGATTTCTGAAAGCACCTTGCAACCAGAAAAGTTTTACTGTTACTCGGCTTCGGGTGACGGGGTGGGAGGGAAACAAAACGACTAAGATGCCCATCGGGAAATATTCCCCAGAGAAAGGAATGTTCTAGAGACCCTGTGCCCATTCTGAGCAGGGCTCTTGTTTCTAAAGAATTGAATTCCGTGCCGCTTTGGAAGAAGTCACTGTGTGTGTGAGAAGGTCGCTCCCGCTCATCTACTCCCCAGCCCCAGCTATGAATTTCTCATTACAGGAGGGAGGGAAGACGTAGACACACGTTTTTACAGCCCTTTAATTGGTTCATTTTTACTGCAGCTTCTCATCTCCACCCCTTCACTCCGAACTTGTTCCGCACGTGCTGTCTGCAATCCCCACCTCCTCCAGGTTTGCAGTGGTGCGAATCCGGGGATGCTCTACCCAACCCTTGGTAGCCCTCGGGACACGAGCTTCCGATTATCCCCTCCGCTCTGCACATGCAGCCTTCGCCCGCATAGCCAGCACCACCAGTTCCCTACATAGGCCCCCAACCTTGGGCTGCAGGCGACCCCCAAACCCCCGTCTTCCGCTTCATCCACCTCTTCCTCCATAGCTTTGCCCAATGGTGAACTCAGTCTGTCTCACCCTCAGCACCACAGCTTTAAGATCCTTTCAGCAACTTCTGCAGGTCTGGGGCAACCTAAGAGTTTGGAAACAAGTCGAGAATAAAGAGAACCTATTTCATGCCAAGAACTCGCTCGTTCACAGACCAACTCCCTCTTGCCCTTTGCACGAACAGGTCTCAAGGCTTACATTAGTTCATTTATTCAGTCAACAAACGTCTTCTGAGCGCCAGGTACAGCCCGCCGCTGAGCCCAGAGCTGATCCTCGAGGCTCTCCTGACTTGTCCCAAGCCCCGCAGGAGACGCCGCAGTTTCTTCCTTCCCTTTGCGCCAGGCCAGACCAGCACAGCCACCAACATGGGTGACCGCGAGTCGGAACGCGGCTCCAGCCGGCCCCCAAGCTCCTAATTTTTGCCTAATGATAACACATCGAACGATGAATTTCCAAGAAAAACACTGATTCAGCGGAATTGTAAATTAAACGTTGCTCTCCAATCGAACGTGGCGTTTTGGGTCCACCTGGTCTCAAGCGCGGCGCCTGCGCGGAGGATGGGCCTTAAGTGGGGCCCACGCGGGGCCCTCGCCGAACCGACCGGCGCCTGGGGCGGCTGCTACGACGAACCCACGGTAACGACGAGCACCTGCCGAGCCCTCCCCGCCGGCCGGGCTGGCGCGTCCCGGGCGTTGCGGTGGCGCCGCGGTCCCCTGGGCAGGAGCGGCCGGCGGCGGGCATGTGCAGAGGGCGCGTGGTGCTCGGCGCGGTCACCGGGCCCGGCCGCCTTCTGCATGGCGCCGAGCGCGGGGCCGCAGCTCTGGAGCTCAGGCCCGGTCCCCGTGGTTTTGCGCAGGGACGTCCGGGCGCCTCCCGGGTCTGAGGCTTCTATCCACCCCGCAGGGACCTCGGCCCGCGGTCTTGGGCAAGAACGCGGGTCCGTTTTAAATCCCAGCGCGCAAAGCACGCGTCATCCGAGTTGCGCGAAGGGATAGAGGGTCTGGGGTCGTCTTCGACCCTTGGGCTCGTCCTCTTTGAGGCGGGACAGACTGGATGAGTCCAGAGCTGCCGTGGGGAAAGGAACGAAGTGCGAAGGGGCTGGGAGGCGCCGAGAGGCAGGGGCGAGGGCAGGAGAGAAATCCGGGAAAAGCGACTCTCCCTGGGGTCCTGCCTGCTAATAATAACACTAATAATAGTAACGATAGCGGCTAACCGTTATCCCCGGCTCCCTGTCTGCCAGGCATTGGATTCCCCTTTAACCCTCCCAGCACCCAATGAAGAAGACACTACGGAATCCCAGTTCTACAGATAAGAAATATGCGACTTAGAGAAACTTAAGAAACTCGCCCGAGGGCCCTTAGGCGGTGGCACTGGGCCCTGTCTGGTTTCTGAGCCACTAACCCCATGGGCGCCCCCGACCTTCTGCCTGGCCCTCCCATGGGTCGCAGAGGCCAAGGCCGGAAGGGAGCCGGGGCCCCAAATCCTGCTTCCGGGCTCCCGGCCCCTGGCCCGGCACGCAGGAAGCGCATTTCGCTCCCCAAGACCGGGATGCCCCGAAGGACGCGCGCGCCGTCAGTCCCTCAGCCCAGCGGCCCGGGCTCTGCCCTGCGCTTCCCTGGGACGCGCCCTGGCGGAGCCGCGCGAAGATCACGGCCGGGACAGGAGCTGGCCACGCCCAGGCCCGCGGAGCTAGAGGATGCCACTAAACCCGAGATCGCCAGTGAGGAGGCGGGAGAGGGTCCTGCGAGTGCGTCCTTCCTCCTGGGCACGATTTTCCTTTTCTTTCCCTTCGTGTTCCCCAAGAACACAGGCGCCCCTCGACGTAGGCGCCGGCGGTACCGCGAACCCCCGTCGGCCTGCAGGCCCGGAGCCCCGCCTCCACCCTGCCGCCCGCCCTCGGCGGTGGAGGCAGGCAGCTCCCCGCCACGCCACAGTTCGTCTCCGGAATCTTGACCTTACGCTCCACTTCGCGCCCCGCGCCGAGCACTGGATCCTGACGGCGTGAAAGGGTCGTGATGTGCCCAGGGAGCTGGGCGGCAGCGGCCCGGGGAGAGGCGAGGCGGGGTGGGGGAGGCGGGGCTGGGGAAGGACCAGCCCGCAGTTCACCCTCAGGTCAGACGGTCGTGGGCCCTCAGGAATGGGAGTGGAGGTGGAGGCCCCTGCCGAGAAGGAGAGGGGGCGTCTGGGGAGCTGGCCGACTGGAGTCCCTCGAGGTGGCCGAAGGCTGCGAACCTAGGTGCCTGTCGGTGGCCAGCGGGCCCTGCGCAGGTGCGATCTGGCACAGTGGTAACATCCTGTGCGCCCTGTCCCCGCATACACTGGGGTATCCAAAATGTTTGGTACTTGCTTATTCATGGGAAGGTAGCTAATGATTCAGGAACCTCTCCCGTCTCCCGTCTGCCTAAACCAGGCGCCCCTGTTCCTTTCATTTTGAGTTGGATGCAATAACAGACGGTAGAAAAATCTAGAGAAACAGCAGAAACTACGAGAAAAAGAATAGAATCAAAAGGGCGATAAGAACTAAGAGGGCTCAGAGCGAGATAAAGCAAATTTCATTTTCTCAGATTTCGCACCGTCCCTTACCACATTTTATTGAAAGGGTGGGGGACTCATAGCTCTCATTCCCCCCAGCATTTAGGAAGGATGTTCAGAAATGACTTTCCATGTTAACAGCTGATTCCAGTGTAAGTTGTAATCTTACCCTAATTGCTAATGTCACCTTCCTGTAATTTCTACAAAAATAGTTTAGTCTTAGTGGCTGTTTTTTCACATCAGCGCTGAAATTGTTTAAATGTGTTTTAAGCATTCATTGAGTCCACATACACCACTAGGTTCAAAGAATTTAAATAGGCGATAACTAATAAGACCAAAATTTGCTGCCTCTCCCACCCAAAAAAACTCTGGAAAATTAGGTGCAGAAAAAGAAAAAGGATTTGGAATCCAGTGTGAAATTCAGCTCAACACCAGTTCTCTGTTGCTCAACTTCCTGAACATAATCCAGGTTTATATGTTAAAATGAATGTTTATAAAAGAAATACCTGGATATAAACTTCATTTTCTTA